AACAAACAAACAAACAAACAAACAAACAAACAAACAAACAAACAAACAAACAAACAAACAAACAAACAAACAAACAAACAAACAAACAAACAATCAAACAAACAAACAAACAAACAAACAAACAAACAAACAAACAAACAAACAAACAAACAAACAAACAAACAAACAAACAAACAAACAAACAAACAAACAAACAAACAAACAAACAAACAAAAACATACAGTCCATTCGACGGAAACAACAGCTGTATTGGATTCAACATCTTCCCATGTTTGAAGTGACGTAATACTCGGCGACTCCGGGGCTGCAATAAAAATAATAATAATAACAACAACAACAACAACAACAACAACAATAATAATAATAACAACAACAATAATAATAACAATAATGGTAATGATGATGTTATTTATTTATATAGCGCCCAACTTTACACGCAATGGTTAATCAATTTGTAAACGAGTGCTTTGTGATTTAAGAGCTATTAAATCATTTGTAAGATTAATTAGTTGTATTGATCCATCCATCTATCTATCTATCCATTTTTTCATTTATCTCATTCATTCATTTATTCATTCATTCATTCATTCATTTAATAATCCATTCTTAGTCCCATTCATTCAAACTGGCTCACACAACCATTTACACACAGAAAAGAAAATTCTATTTTTTACACATACACCAATTAATTAATTCACTCATTAATTTATTTACTTATGCATTCATTCATTCAATCAACCATCAGTCCATCCACTAACCATTACACTTAGTCCTATAAGGAGGACTAATAGGAGACGTACCTCCAACAATTTCTTCATTTGTACTTAACATCTTCAAGATAGGTGTCACTCTGAACTCATAGAACGTATTCTTCTGTAACTTGTCAATCATAGCCTCTGTAAAACCGTGTCCGCGATGATGGTGATGGTCAATCGTTGCGGCAACTATCCAGAGGTCATCTTTGACATCGCTGCCACTACTACTACTGCTGCTACCACCACTACTACTACTAGTGGTACTGCTGCTGCCGCTACCGCTACTACTACTACTACTGCTACTGTTGTTGTTAGTTTTATCATTTTCATTAATGTTTTTCTCATTGTCATTTTTGTTGTTGTCATTACTTTCTTGGTGAGTGCTCTGTTTGTATTCAATGGAGTAATAGAGGTGGATGGCTTTGTCGAGGGGGGCCGTCCAGGTGGGCCACCTTATGATGATGTCAGTCATGTGCGACTCCTTTAGGGTAGGCTCTGATTTCAACTTTGGGATGGCTGATTGCATTAGGTTTTTTTTTCAATTTTTAGATAATTTTCAGGCTATAACATTTTTTGTGGTTTTATATAATTTAAATATAATATAATATAACAAAATATAATTTACAAAAACAGTTTTTCAAGTTTATAATTTCGAAAATAATAAAACAGGTACACCTAAAATGAACATCTCCCAAACACACACCTGTCTGACAAGTGGAGCCAACCCAGTTTGCATCACAACTCTGGGGGCACGAACCATTGACAATATGGCAGCTCGCGTCACCAGAACAGTGACAGCTCTTCAAACAACTCGGTCCAAATTTACCATCAGGACATTCTAAATAATTGTTAATAAATTTGTTTTTAATATTTAAGATGAAAATATATTTATAAATTATTATTTTTGGGGTTGTTTTATTTATTGAAACACTAACTTTCCTGGCAGCCAGGCCCCATCCAACCAGCAGCACACTCATTAGGACATTCACCAGATGCCTTGTTGCATGTTTTGCCATCTAGACAATGACACTCGTACGCACACATGCTTCCATAAAATCCATCATGGCAGACTTTTAGTATAAATAATTATTTTTTATGATTTCAATTCAAATTTAAGATAAAAAAATGACTAACCCATAATGCGAACATCACATAACTTCAATCCTCCTCTGAAAGTATTCTTAATGGAAAGAGCCCGTACAACAAGGGGTCCATTGATGCAGGTTATAATATGGTCCCGTTTGGTACCATTCTTGGGACCATAATTGCAAAGGGTCATCATAGTGGAGTTTTCTCCTGCTCGTATCTCTATGTTGTGGCCAAAAAATGTTTGACCTGCAAAACACAATAATTATTTTGATTAAACTCTAATGTTTAATAACTTATTAATTATTTATATTATTAATTATACAGAATAAAAATAAACATTTAAATGGTTTTTTTTACCAACCTGAATTAATGACAACAGCTGCAATAGGATATTTCTTATCCATTTCTACAATCCAATGTTCATCTTTCCCGGGGCCAGTATGACTGCAGGTGACTGCACTGTCGTCAATCGCAAGGCTAGAAGGATTAAGTGTGTTGGATAATGATGACTGACTGGATAGTTGCTGCAGGGCAACATTTCTGGATCTTTTCATCAATTCTGCAAGTGCATCTCCTGATAAAAATAAAATCGTAAAATATATGCAATGCATGGCTGACAAGAAAACGTTTGCTCGTAAATTCGAAGATTAATTTTGCAGTATGAAAGTGCATTGTTTCCAAATGAATGTTGGCATTTTTAAAAATCCATTAATAAATTAATCATCAAATCAAGCAATGAATGTAAATTGCAAACAAAGAAACTAACCATAACATTCGTGCAAATGCAGAAGTGCAGACGCCAAAAAAATTATTAACATGCCATTAGATTTAAAATCGCATGAAATCATTATTTTACGCGCAAAACATTGAAAATATATTATTTTTAAAAAAGATATTAACTGCTTAGAAGCAATTGTTTACTGCACGATGCTCGGTCTCTCTAAATGGCAAACTTTTATTTACAATTCCTTTGACCATTTAAATTAAAAACGGTTTTAAAACTAAATAATTAACGTTATTACTACAAAAATGTGAATTTTAAACATTTAAAATTGTCAAAAATAGAAAAAGTTCCATTTTTCATTGTAATGCTATTAATCTACCTTAATATCACCAATTTACTATAATCGACTTTATAATATCGTGCTAAATTGAGAAGTATTTTTAAAAGTAGACGATTTTTAATCACCTACTAGAAAAAGAACGGCCGCTTGGCAACTTAGAGTTAGGCTTAAATATGTCGGATTGGGTTGAAAGTCTTCACAATGCCAAAAAAACATGTCTAGTTCAAGACGGCTAGTATTCATTTGTTCATTTTTACGTCTTTATGATTACATTTTTTTTAAAAACCTTTTTTAAAAACTTTTATCAATTACCAATGAGGTTTCTAAGGACGCCATTCTTGTAATTTGCAATTTTATGTGCTTTAAATTTAAAAATCGGTGAATTTCAATTTATTGATATATTAACAATAGCCAAAAATTTGTTTATTTTATACTTTGTAGCAATAAAACAATAATGCATTGTATATTGTAATTATTTTATATATTTATTATTTTATTGGTATTCTCCACAAAAATAAAAATGGTTTTAACAAATTATGCTTATGTTAAACTTTAAAGCAAAACAAATTAATAATAACACATATTTTTAAAAAATTAGATATGACATTTTAACTTGAAATTTCAATTTTCAGATAAAGTATAAAATTTATTGTACAAATTTGTTCTACCTCTGACAGGCAAAAGAAAAGTCCACTACACATTTGATGATGGCAATGAAATGGTAGAAGAATATTCATTAAATACTCATGATTTAATTGGTTAACTTTTTTTATCAATATTTTAAAACTTATATTAATAAAAGAATTAATAACTTTTTTAATTTTTACTATTCCACACATTCATTTAAATACTGATTGATATTTAAGTTAGTGAGTTGGATTTTTTCAGTTAGGAAACACAAAAAGAAAACAATGACAGGCAAAGAATGTGATTGGGAGTTTGAAGTTGGTCAAGAATTTCAGTCAAGACTCATTGACACTAGTGGATTTGCAGAAAGCGTTGAAAACGTAATTACTTTTTTTATTTATTTCACACATATTACCAATTATTTTTAAAATTCAGTGATTTTATTCATATTTTAAAAGTTATCAATTTTACGAAAAATGTTTATTTATTGTTTCTGCAATTATTTAAAGCCCATTTTCACAAGAAAAGACACAAAAGAATCATTTCAATGGCGAATTAGGAACCTGCCTTATCCAAGAAATATTTACGACATCAGTATTGAGAATAATTTCATAATAGTCAAGACAACTAACAAAAAGTAAGTTCACTCAATTTTTTTCATATCCATGGCTGTATGATTGTGAAAGTTAAGAATTTTCTTTTATTCATTGTTTATATCAGAGTGCTAAATTTGACTTTTAGTTAAGTTGCGTTATAATGCCATACATACAAATTGAAATCATTAATCATTTGGTATAAATGTGAGGGCCGCATTGAGAGCTATTTTACCTTTGAAGGGCCGCATATGTACTTAAATAGTAAATTTTTTCGACTCGGGGAAGAATTTTATAAGATTTGTGGTTCCTTTTCTGGTCATAATGTCTGGGGCTATGACCTTTTTTCTTGGGAGCAAGGCCTCGCGGGCCGTAATTTGCCAACCCCTGGTATAAAAATTCTATTCTATTGTGTCTAGTCTAGCATTGTAGGTATGTTTCCTATTAAAATTTCATCCCAGGTATTATAAAAGGTTCTCAATCCCTGATATGGTGAGACTGAATCTAAACATTGATCGGTCTAATTTGTCCTATGATCATTTCAACAACACTCTTATCATTACAGTTTGTATTTCGATTATTTACACTAAAAAATTGTTTAAAATTAGCTTCAAGTTAAATTAAAAAAAACCTCAAATTAAATTTAACTTGAAATGTATTCCTAATAATTATAAAATGATCCTTTCACAGTACAAAAAGCCTTCAAAAGTTTTGGAACACGAAAGAAATATAATAAACGAGATCAAAAAAGCGAACAAAAGTGGCGAAGGAGATGTGGAAATGTGTTCCATTTGCTGAATTCCTTGTTTAACTGACTATAATACTATTATTTCGTTAATTTACTCAATATTTCTTCACATTTTTTGTGATTTTACCGTTTTTTTTCTTGTATGTCGCTGCAAATTGGTATTTGGGCTTTTAATGAATAAATTAATGACGAATCGCACATCACTGATCTCACCTTGGCACCTTAATTCAGGTGTTTGATTAAATAAACAGTTATGGATTGAAACATTTTTCTTGAAAAAAAAAGATGGATCGCGACCAAAATATTTATTTTTATTTTTTTAAATTATTATTTTTATTATTCGTAACAACGTTTGCACGCTTCGAAGTTTCTGCTCGTTAGTACAATTTTTTTAACCTACCTACCTATGTATGATTTATCTTTCTATACAGTTATAGAGATTCTATAGTTCTCTATGCGCACCTGGCTGCTATACCAACTAAACTGAAATGATCACAAATTCAAACTTACCGAAAATTTTCAATAAATCATTTGGTGTTGAGACACTTCATAAAACAAAATTAATTATTTTATAATATAACGCGACGTCTTTAAATATATATATATATATATGTATATATATATATATATATATATAATATACAAAAACTTAACATAAATTTTAAAATTACAGAATACCCTGATTTACAACCCCAGTCTGCCATAAACATCACCGATCCTTGTCAATATCCCATTCCAGTTGGGATCGAGAAGTACTACATTCCAGACAGCAACTTGTGGGCAACTTCTCTGACCAACAAAGCTAGGGAAGCCAGATTTGCCAGACTGCGTGGATGGAAAGGTTGTTGTGGAAAGTTGTTACAAATTAATAAATTTTTTTCTCTGCGAAACATCATCCTTTTTTTCCTTTATTGTAGAGTGCACTTTAATGCTAACTGTTGAGAAATTAAATTCAAATACTACAAACGTGATTTTTGTAAAGTATTATTTTTCAAACTTGAATAAAATTTATAATAAAATTTCAAATTTTGAATTTTTTTTTGTAAAAGGTGGAGGCGCCTGGACAGCAGGGACGTCAGACTCAAACCAGTATCTCGGCATTGATTTGGGCTACAGGCAGGTCATAAAGTTCATAGAGACCCAGGGTAGGAGAGGAAGTAATGAATTTGTACTGGAGTACTACGTCTGGTTCTCCGATGATAACACTACATGGAGAGTCTACACTAATGAATATGGAACGCCGATGGTGAATGCCGAATTGTATTTTATTTCATAAAGATTGGTTTTATTTATAGATCTGCTGTAAATTTACTCCGAATTCTCAAACGTGAAAGATAGTTTGATTGTTTCAATTGCTATGTCTAATATCTGTCTACTATTTTTTAACTTTAACTTCACTCTAACTCATCTGGGGTATGAATAAAAAACATCCAGCAACTGAAAAAAATCATCATCTTTCATTCTAAATCTATTTTCAAACCCAAAAAATCCTAGTTATTCCAAGGCAACACAGACGACAACACGGTAGTACGTAACTCTCTACCATACCAGCTGATAGCTAGATACATTAGGATCAACCCGCAGAGATGGAATAGATTCATTTCACTCAGAGTTGAGCTACATGGCTGTAGATTTGGTTAGTCAGTTAGTTGTGTGCAATTTTGGTAAAAAATTGTAACACAAACACACACATGTACGCACACACACTCACACACACACATGATAGGTTTAAATGTTCTATCATTTCATTATACAGACTCAGACAGCGCTCGATTTACGGGTGAATCTCGAATAACCTATGACATAAGTGGGCCAGGTCACTTCGTCCAATCACGGACCGACCTACTAAAGTTTCGTTTTCGAACCACCCAATCAGAGGGCTTGCTGTTCTACGCGGATGGCAACCAGGGAGATTACCTGATTGTTGAAATGCTGAGAGGAAAACTTTATATCAACTATGATCTTGGTTTGTGTTTGAGTTTTTATTCCCTTTTTTCCGTTTATACTTTGGTATTTTTGGTGCATTCATTCGTTTGTTCGTTCTTTCGGTCATTCATTCATTCGTTCGTTCGTTCTTTCGTTCGTTCACTCGTTCAAAATTTTTCTTTGTAATTTCAAACTACATGCTACTCAATAAAATGAATATAAAATGCTAAAAAAAACACCACTACAATTAACACCAATACGTAAAACCGTACAATCCTACCCACCAAATAAATTCCTAATCGGTAATCAGGATCGACAGCCGAGGAGACTGGGGACACGACGACGAGGGCCGGAAGTTTACTGGACGATAATCAGTGGCATGATGTGGAGATCGTCCGAGATAAGAGGTACATCACTGTCAGTGTGGACAGGATGAAGATCAACAACGTCACCCTTGGAGATTTCATCCAACTAGATCTTGATAAGCAGGTTTATAATTGTTGTTTTTTTCTTAGTTGGTTGTTGGATTTGTTGTGTTTAGTATTTTTTTTGTTTTTCATTCATTCATTTATTTATTCATTCATTCATTCATTCATTCATTCATTCATTCATTCATTCATTCATTCATTCATTCATTCATTCATTCATTCATTCAGTCAGTCAGTCAGTCAGTCACACATTCATCCATCTATCCAACCGCCATTTTTTAATTTTTTGTTTTTCATTCCGTAGATCCATCTTGGAGGCATAGACAACTTCCTGCAGCCGGGCAAACGTTTGAGAACGCGGGAAAACTTCACCGGATGTATGGAGAACGTCTGGTTCAATTACATGAACATGATACAAGACTCGAGAACCAATCAGAAGAGGTTCACCGTCTATGGTGGTATTACCTACGGCACTTGTCAGGTCGGTCGGTTGGTTGGTTGGTTGGCTGGCTGGTTGGTTGGTTGGTTGGTTGGCTGGTTGGTTGATGAATTGGTTAATTGACAATTGGCTACTTGATAATCGATTTTTTTATTAGTTTTGGACACGCAGACACGCACAAATGCATATACACAGGCAGGCGCATACATATTTTGACATACACGAACGCACATTACACACACGCCACGCGAACACACACACGTACACACACACACACGTACACACACACACACACACACACACACTAACCCACACACAGTCGGAAATTGTGACCCCAGTATCGCTACCGTACGTTGACGCCTACATTGAGATAACTGACATGTCACCAGATAGAAGGATTAGGATAACGTTTGATTTCAGGTCCTACAACAAGGACGGACTGCTCATCCTTACCAATCCAACTCCTGGAAATCAGAGATTCATTGTTCGTTTGTTCATTTTATTCTGTCGTTGTTGTTGTTGCTGCTGCTGCTACTGTGGTTGTTGTGGTTGTTGTTGTGGCTGTTGTGGCTGTTGTTGTTTATATTTTTATTAACCGACTGATTGATTGGTTGTTTGATTGGTTTGTTAATCTAACGATCGAATGACTGACCGGCCAATCAACTGACTGACTGACTGACCAGTTGAAATTTCTCAATTCATTGGCCAAACATTTTGAAGTGATGAATAATATTTTGAGAAATTCAACTACATTCATTTTAAAATCATTTAATGCGTATTAACATTTATTTTGTTTGTGAAAAAATTTATTTATCCAATTTTATATTTACAATTTATTTTTAAACATCACATAGTTTAAACTAAACGCTGACGGTCACTTCGAGTACAGCATACAAACAGATAAGGACCCTGTGGTTCACAACGTTATCATCAATCGTTCGTTCTTATTACTATTTTCTAAACTTTTCCTTTTAATTTTTGTTTTAATTTCAAAATATTCTCACCATTTCCACTAACAAATATCTCACAATAACCATTGCCTACATCTCAACCATTTCGTCACCAAATTATGCCATAACAACCTTGACATTACCGCTACTACCACTAAAGTTGTGGCCACTATTACATCAACCACGCAAATCACAGGTGACCCCTTAGCCGAGTCCTCTTCCTTTACTGACGGCTTGTGGCACAGCGTAGACATCGACATCATAGCCAGCCAGGATAGGACACCAGGGAGGGTCAGTGTCACAATTGACGGTCTGTCCGATATTTCTGAGAGGCAGCTGCAGTTTATGAGTTCTACTGCTTTCTATATTGGAGGTTTGTTGGCGTTTGATTGGTCGGATATCTGATTGGTCGGCTATCTGGTTGGTCGGATGTGTGATTGGTCGGCTATCTGATTGGTCGGATGTGTGATAGGTCGGCTGGTTTGTTGATTGGTCGAAGAAATTTGTGTCCGAGTCAGTTTTTCCATTGGTCAGTTAAATTAATGACGTAATTGGACGGGGAAACAGCGTATTTCTTAAAAGCGCCTAATCATACATTGCAGGGACAGCGTTCGAACCGTAAATTATGCTGTACGTAAAGTATGCTGATTGTATACAATATTCACCGAAATTCTATGCTGTTTTGTAGTTCCACTTTATACCATGCAGCTTTTAACGAACGTTATTTTCGTAAATTTCAATTAAGACGTTTTACAAATAGTATTTGTATTTCCATATTTATTAATATTAATTATCTTAATTATAATAATTATTTTTATGATAATTAAAGGGAAAGATGATGCTGGAGGGGAGACGGGGTTTGTTGGTTGCTTACGAAAGCTCTACGTTCAAGGTCAGTCCATGTTCACAATAGACAACAACCAGGCTAATGCCAAGCTGATTGGAAAGATCAAGTTTTCACCTGGAGCTGTTAATGGTACCTGTGCTATTCAAGATAGGTTGGTCGGTTGGTGGGTTGGTTGGTTGGTTGGTCGGTTGGTGGGTTGGTTGTTTGGTTGGTCGGTTGGTGGGTTGGTTGATTTGGTTTTCAGTTAACCGTTTGTTGATTAACAAGATTTTTTTTACTCAACTGCAGCATTGTTATTAAGTGAAACGCGATAGAGGATAATTATAAAACTGATTGACGCCACCCCATCAGGTGCGATCCGAACCCATGCGAGCACGGTGGCTTGTGCTCGCAGAGCTTCGAGACGTTCCAATGCGACTGTGGAGATACTGGATATGGGGGCGCAGTCTGCCACAGATGTTGGTTCTATGGGATGGATGGATGGATGGATGGATGGATGCATGCATGCATGCATGGATATATAGATGGAGATGGATATATAGATGGATTGATAAATAGATGGATTGATAAATAGATAGATGGATGAAGAGATGGCGGCTAAATTAAACTGTATTTATTTATCTAATTAATTAATTAATTAATTATTGAACAATGTCATCCTTGCAGCGAAGCACTTGATTTCATGTGAGGAGGCCAAGTGGTTGTACTACTTGGACGGCGAGATAGATATAACGATTGACATTGACGACTCCGGTCCATTGTTACCCTTTAAAGTGCACTGCAACTTTAAAGGTACTTGTTTTTGGAACCTTATCTAATTTAATTCACTCTAATCGTGATGATTTCAAGCATCCACCAAACTCAAGCAACAACAACAACAACAACCAAACAACACCATCACCACAAACCAGATAGCATCAAGTTAGACTCGGACGCCTTACAATACGACGAAACCGTGATGGCACTCTCCCACGATTCCACTGGTACCATGCTGGTGGACGGGTACCAGGAGCCCGGGGCCTACGTGCGCAAGATCATATACGATGCCCAGAAAGAAGAGATTGATGAGATTGTAAGAAGGGCCCAGAGGTGTGAACAGTACATCAAATATACATGCTTCCAATCGAGGCTGCTCTCTGATGCAGGTTGGTCGGTCGGTTGGTCGATGGTTTGATGGTTGGCTGCTGTGATTGGTTGATTGGTATCAGGACGGTTGATTTGATTGGATATCATCTTCATCTTCCTCTTCCTCATCATCACACCTCACCCAAATCAAACCACGTGACCGATAGGCATAGCCGATCTGAACAGGCCGAGCTGGGGTTGGTTCGTAGGTAAAGAGATGACAGTTGAACGGTACTGGGGGGGCTCGGCCCCGGACAGCCGCAAGTGCGCATGCGGCCTGAAAAACGAGTGCAAGTACATGGGCAGTCAGTCCAACAACCCGTGCAACTGTGACGCTGGCATGGCCCACGACGACGTCTTTGACGACGGCTACCTCTCCGAGAAGGACAGACTGCCCGTCAAGGAGCTACACTTCGGAGATACTGGCGTCATTGGCGACGAGAAGTGGGGCAAGCATGATCTTGGCCCTCTCAGGTGCTCCGGAGATGGTACGTCTCTCCTGCTGTGTCTACCAACTAAATAGATTAATTAATTAATTAATTAATTAATTTGATTAATTAATTTGATAAATTGATTTTTCTTCGCACGCGTCCGACTCACCAGCTCTGTACACGAACGTGGTGACTTTTAGAAAAGAAGACGCGACCCTCGAGCTGCCCACCTACCCAGGGGCCGTATCGGGGGATATCAGGTTCCAGATCAGGACGACAGCTTCGGACGGCATCATACTTCAGAACACTGGGCCCTACAACTTTCTGGAAGTCAAGATTGTCTGTTAGTTTTGTCATCATCACGTTATCGTACGGTCACCACACACAATCATCATGATCATCGTCATCATCATGATCATCATGATCATCGTCGTCATCATCATCATCGCCACCGTAGTTGGAAACATAATACAGTTTCGTTTTGAAGTTGGGAATGGCATCCAGACATTGGAGCTGCAGACGTCCTATCCTATCAATGATGATAATTGGCACACTGTCCAGGTACTGATGATGATTGTGATGATGATGATGATGTCAAAGATGATGACGATGATGTTGTTTTAGATAATGCTGATAACCGTGAAGAAGATAATGATGAAGATGATAATAAAAATAACAATGATGATGATGATAGTAGTAACTTTTTCCCGCCATAAATTCAGATCGAGCGGAACCGGAAACAGGCGATGTTGAGGGTTGACCAGCAGTCCCCAGTGTACCTGGACGAACCTGTCGACCAGGAGTTCAGGCAGTTCAACCTCACCAGCAAATTAGTTGTCGGTTAGTTGACTGGCCTGGCAGGGCTCAACTACTCTTTTATATACAGTTTATCTTTTCATTCTGTGTGTGTGTTTGTTTGTTTGTCTGTCTGTCTGTTTGTCTGTTTTTTTTAATTTGTCTTTGTTTGTCAAACAACTCACCACTTGACAAATCACTTATGAACAACTACCGAAGAAAAAATGTTCACATCCAACACACGAACACACACATCACACACACATCACACACACGTACACACGCACAGGTGCAGCAGTAGATTACAGTCAAGGTTACGTAGGTTGCGTTCGGGGCTTCCAAGTTAATGGTGTCCTGCAAGATCTGATGGGCATTGTCCAGAGAGGAGAAACTACTTATGGGGTGTCACCGGGTTCGTTACTCACTCTCACTCTTTCTCTCTCTTTCTCTCTCTCTCTCTCTTCTTTTCAATCAATCACTTGATCAACCAACTTCCATGATGCAGGTTGTGTACAGAAATGTTCAAGCAACCCATGTTTCAACGGTGGCATCTGCGTGGAGTACTACTCGAGGTATTGGTGCGATTGTGCCTACACCTCTTTCAGAGGATGGAACTGCGGAAGAGGTTAGTTGGAGTAGGTGCTGCTGCTGTGGCAGCTGATACAGCTGCTGCAGCTGCTGTGGCTGTAGCTGCTGCTGTGGCTGCTGCATCAAATGCTGTAGCTGCTGTGGTTGCTGCTGCTGCTGCAGTTTTTGTTGTTGTTGAGCTGGTAGTTTGTTAGTTTCATTTGTTTTTCATTCATGCACTCATTCATTTACCCATCAATCCATTTATTCATTCTTCCATTTATTCAAAGCACGAAATTTAAAAGTCTACTTACTCAACCAACCAATCAGAAATCGGAGTGACTCTGCAGCCTAACAATATGATTCGCTGGGAGTTCGACCAATTGTCTGGCGACATTTCAACCACGGAAGAAGAAATCATAATTGGTCAAAATTATGACTATAATATAATAAATTAATTATTAATCAACATTGTTGTCATGTTAAAAATGATAATAATTAATGTTAATTACATAAAATAATTGTGTTTAATTTAATTGATAATTATTTTTAAATTATATTTCCAGGATTTTCAACTCAAGAGAAGCATGGCCAGTTGATGTATATTAGAAGCCAGAACAAGCCATACGATTATATGTCCATTGAAATGAATAACAATGGTGTGTGCGTGTGTGTGTTTGGTTGTGTGTGTGTGCGTGTGTGTGCGTGTGTGTGTGCAAGTGCTATAATCATTTTTTCCATCATCTTCCTCATCTTCATCATCACCATCATTATCACCATCATCATCACCATCGTTCCAATCCAGGTGGGATAAAGGTCATCATAGACGTGGGGTGGTTCCGTGATGAGGTCAACACGATCCTTGACCCCTACGTTGACCTCGCCAACAGCCAGCAGCATGTCGTTAGGGTGAAGAGGACCAACCAGGGGACTACCCTCACCATTACGGTTGTTTGTCTGTTTGTCTGGGTGGTGTTTGTTTGTTCGTTTCGTTTGCTTGTTTGTCTCTTTCTTTCTTCCTTTCTTTCTTTCCCTGATTGTTCATTCATTCGTTTTATTTTCAATCGTTCATTCGTTTGTTACATCGTTCGATTTGTTTGTTTATTCTTTGTTTATTAATTTATTTGCTGATATTAAAGATCAAAATGATGACTATGATCATGACAACGACGATGATGACGACGATGACGATGGTGACGACGACGATGACGATGATGATGACAGGTTGATGACTACCCTCCGACGAGAAAAGATTGGACGGACGTTCCGAGAAACGCTGACACCAGACTGGACAACCCAAGGTACATCTACTTCGGAAGAAATGGTCTGCATCTTTTCTCTTTTTTTTTTCTTGAAATTTTTTAAATATTTTTAAATATTTTATATTTTACTTGTTGGTCGTATTAGTAATATATAACATATGATTGTGCTAATAATATGTATAATATGATAGTATAATATATTATAATGTAATAAAATATAATTTAATATAATATAATTTAATATAATATAATATAATAACATTATAGTAACATAATATAATAATAGCAGTAGCAGTAATCATCGTCCTAATCGTCCCCACCATCATTCACCATCACAACCATGACCTTTGACACCGCCCTTTCAAACAGAAACCACACCAGCCGGACTGGGGTACAGGGGTTGCTTGTTCAGGGGCCAGTGGGATAACCAGTTCCCACTCAAAAGAGTTTTCCAGGATCCCAGAGGGCCTAACGTCATCGTCGAACCACCCGGTAAGACTACGTGTTTGTGGGTGTCTCTGTGTGTGCGTGTCTCTGTGTTTGTGTGTGTATGTGTGTGTTATCACATAAAATGATTTGACTTTTTGTAGGTTCAGTTCGAGAGGACATGTGTGGTTTCGAGGAGTACAGCTTGGCTCCTGACGTCATGGAGTTCCGGCCGACCCCCTCCCTCCGTTTGAGCACTACCACCCCGTACTGGGGAGATATCGGGTCAGGCCAGATGACCATTGGTGACCAGGCTCTTCTCGGAGGTTCGTGAGATGATGAAAATGAGGATGAGGATGATGATGAGGATGATGATGATGATGACGATGAAGATATTTTTTAAATCAATTCATTTGATTCTTTTCGTTCTGACATGTTCGTTTGATATTTGCGTTTGGCTACTGGAAATTACAAATTTAAAATTAACCAGCCAATCAAAATCATCGAAACTAGGTTGCATCGGTGTCTTCCTTATCCTATTGGGCGGAATCTTCTTCCTCTGCACCAGATACTACTACAAACGCAAGCGCGAATACCGAACGTACGAAGCCAAAGATGCCGAATACTTTGACAATGCCGATTATGCCCTGGTTATCGGTTCCAACAAACAACCGGAAGTTACCACTAAGAAAGAATATTATATTTAGTTGCATGGTTGATTAGCTGGTTGGTTGATTGATTGGTTGATTGATTGATTGATTGATTGATTGATTGATTGATTATTACTGATTAGCCAATTAACTATTTGTTTGACTGTTGAATTGCCCCGATATTTAGATGAATTTTTCAATATTCTACAATAAATTTTTTGAACTTTAACCTTAACCACGGACTCAACCTTTATATTTAATTATTATTTGACCGATTTTTTTTCAACTGGCCATTTTTAACGACACTACACGGTTTGATTGACCATTACTACCGCCATATTATTATTTCTAATTTTTATAAACATCGTCATAAATATTATGGTTATAATATTATTATATTATAATATTAATATAATAATATAATATAATTATAATGGTTATAACTATTATTAACAGTTTTTTTTTATATTTCACTGTTGCTGTTGTGTTTGTCATTTCTTTGAAATGAAAAATAAAAACTGACCACCTAAAGACAGGTCTCGTGCTATCAGTTTAACACAACGTATATCTCTATTCACAACGCCACAAGCAGTTTTTATTTTCAATTCCTTTAGATGAAAATTTCAAAAGTTCGGCTTGTAAAGCCAGTTAAGCGGTAAGCACATCAAATGATTAAAACATCCATTTGGTGGTTTTGCTGCTTATAACCAAAAACTTCTCCAACATGATGAGATAGACTGATCGTAAATGATAATATACATAATATACACAGCGTCCGTAAAATTATCAAATTAAACATGGGTCTATTATAATTTAAAGAAGTTACATTGACGTATCGTGAGATGCGTGCTAATTTTTACGAGAAAAGCGCTGACAACGAATGCAAAATCGACATAAAAATCGTACGATGACATTTTAAAATATGTGTAAATAAAGTTGAGAATTCAGTTTTTCCATCAGCCAGCAAGCATGCTGTCAGTTGGATTTCTGTCTAAACTTCCCCGCGTATCCCGAGATGAGCATGATGAAGAAATCGATGAATTCCAACATCGTAAGGACGCTGGCGCCGAGTAGTAGGCCAAGAAAGCCGCCGATCTCGCTGAAGAGACTCAACGATTGGAAACTTACCTGCTGTTGGATGTGTTCGTAACTTAGCTCCTTGTAGAAGATGTCCAACTTTATGAAGTTTTCTCTGCCGTGTGATGTAATGTGATGTGGTGTGGTGTGGTGTGGCGTGCTTCACAGCTCCAAGTTAAGTCGTAAGTTTCGATAAAAAATTTTTGTTGCAGTACAATTATTATTTCATGATTTATGATCAGAATTTAAAAATATTAAATCCCAACATTTTAAACATTCCTACTGAGATAGAGTCCTACAAAGTACTAATTACTGACTCTACCAATGAAAAAGAATAAAATGAAATTCCTACTTAATGAAACTTTCATCGAACTTTCCCTTGGCCACATATTGCTCCAGGTTCTTTTTCAATTCGCCTACACCAGCATCGAACTCTTTAGAAGACCTCACTATCTTACTCTGGACGGACTGGACCGCTTCTTTGTAGCGATCAAAGAGAAGTTCAACTATGCCAACGACAGCGCTGGACACGTTGCTGTTGAGAATGGAAAGTAGTTGGCAGAGGCGAGAATTCGTTTCATCTTCAACCAGAGACCTCGCAACTTTTACTAGCTCCAGTTTTTCAATTTGCACGTTGTTCAAGGGAGGCACCACTAGCAAGAACGCATTTCTGAAAAAACCGCTCACGTGATTTTGAGTGTCGATTATTTTCGTAAGAAGTTGCTGTAGATCGGAGAGGAAGCTTTGCATTTGCAAGTTCAAAGTTGTCTCCAACGATTTTATCATTTCCGATTTAAAGAACATATGTATGTCGGTCTTTGTGACGTTGTTTTCATTGCTGAGGAAATCGCTGAGGATCGAAGTTATAGGCTGGGCGAGCTTCTCAATGCTTTCCAGCAATTCGAAAGCTCGACTGTGCACAGAAATTTCAACTGAGGTCAGCGTGAGGTGAGAGTGCAGGGCGGAGTTCATGTAGTTGACGAAGAAGTTGTAGTTCTTATTGAACCATTCATTTTTTAGGAACCAGTGACATGGAATGAACTTTTCAACGGTTATCGAAACATTTGAATAACTGTTCAGCTGATAAAAGTTGTAAATATTTCTTGCTATCACCAACTTCTCAGTCCAGTTGGTTGAGTTGAGGTACATGGGCACTTGGACTTCAATGACATCTTTCAACAAAGGGATCCAGAATGATTTGGCATCTTTCAGTAGATATACACATTCATGATGACTTGTATTTGTTTGCCAGTCAACCGAGGTTCCTTCGAACAGTGTGGAAACAGTTTCGTTGTATCTCTCATCACTTTCCAGCAACATCTTGAACGAGTCGTTCGCGTACACCTCCCACCTTTTCAAGCTGGCCTTCCTGTAGAAGAGATAAGTTTTCTGCTGCGGGTCATCATCTGCACACGTCTCGGCATGGATTGACTTCTCATTTTGATGTCTTTCTGCTTCCATCTCCGCTTTCGAACAAATCTGCAACTTCAAAATCAAACGACTGGAACTCAAGTTATCGGATAAATCAAAAAATGCGGACAGTCCGTCATGAATGTCGTAAACCAAGGTGATCCAGTGCGAGAAATCGGGCTGGGTGTTGGTGAAGAGAGGGATCTTAGCGTTGAAACTGTGGTTAGTTAGTGCCAGATCGTTCGACAGAGCTGTGTAGTTTCGAACGTAGGAGATCGAAGTTCTTCCTCGGGAGTCCATCCTCCTGCAACTCGATGTAATGGAGTTTTTGAAGTTGCTCATAGCTCTTATCACCTTGTCCATCATGCGAACGTTGTTGCTGTTTGCAATGTTGTCGATCCTGGCGAACGTTGATCGAGCTTTCTCGTAGCTGAGACGACATTTCGTAGATGTAAAAAATTTTCAAAAAAAATATCATTCACAGAATTATTACGTAAAAATTTGCCTTCACTGAAAATTAAAAAAATTCAAGAAAGTTCGCACAGAACCTGGCATTGATTCGAGAGACGTCGATGGGCTGACCTCTGTCGATCAACGTTTCGAAATCGACCTGCGAGATGGCTGCGTAGGAGAGGGTGGGGTCGTAGTTGGTGATGGAGCATGGCGAGGAACATTCGCATTCCGTGTTCACAAACTTTCCAGGTGAGGCTGCAAAATTTTTTAGTTTTCACTAGTCTATCGTGATTCCGCATCTACTTTTATTTCTCCGTAGACCCACTTCAGTTGTACATTTAACAATTTGAAATCTCTCAACAACAAATATTTACTTTTCAGTTTTTTGTCATTTTTTTTCAAATAAATTCAAACTTATTCAAACCTGAGTTTCTTCTAACGCAGAGAAACAGAGTGGCGAAGCTGCACATCTCTGCAGAAAGGAATTAGGAGCCCGTTTTTATATTTTAGGTGAAATTTTAATTAATTTTTCAATGAAAATGTTAACGATTTAAAATACTGACGGTCTTTATATTTAGTGGGCGGTAGCATGTGCAGGTCCCGACAACCACACCTGGAAAAGACATCGTTGGATATGCACCTCGACAAACAAGCAGACCTTGTGGTCGAATTTTTCTATTTTCGAGAAATGAAAAATAAAATTGTGAATATATAATTTTCAAAAACTGGTGTGATTAATTTTTTTTAATCCAAAATTTATTCGGCAAAGACTGCTAGAGGATCAAAATAAGTAAGAATTACTTTGTGCAGGCTACCCATAACTAAATAATGTCTCGTGATTTTAGTAAATTATAAAACTCGTTGACATACAAAAACAAATAATAGAACGAAAAACCCTACTTACTAGACACGTTCCATAAGGTGCTTCCAGGTTCTCAATCAGTTGTTTCTTAACCCCAACAAGAACGTGCGAGCCAGGTGACACGGCGAAACCAAGATCACGAACTTGTGGGATTTCTCGCGGGTCATGTAACAATAACTTGCGATATAAGACAGATTTTAGGTATAGAGGGAGTTTAATGAAATGTACACTGATAATTAAAACCAGTGAAATGTTAAAAACTTCTCTCAAGAGTAACCTTAACACCGGACTCGTGATCCGGCCCAATCATGTATTCATACTGCTCAATGTTTAACATGACACTCAATCCGGATCTCGCGCCAGATCTGACGACATTCAGACGATTGTGAGCGTCACCGTTGAATTTGTAACAGACGCCAAAATCGGTGAGAGATGTTGTAAAGTTGTCATCCACATTGCAGTTTCTCCCATGCCAGGTGCAGCTAGAGTTGGTTGGGATACCATTTTCTATGTTTTTCACACATTTTTTTAGTTTTTTTTTTCAGAGTTATCAACAACAAATACAAGCTGTAATGCATGAAAATACATGCGAATCAAAGCACCACACACACAAACAGTGCATGCGATAGACAGGGGTTTCGTTGCGTTCAAACTCGGTCACCGCAACAACACTGCCAGACAACTTACACCTTAAACCACCGCACACCATTTATTTTACAAATATTTCTCATTTTAAATGTAAAATCAATAAATTTTTAATAAAGAAAAATTTACTAAAAAATATCGCGAATACGTAACCTGATTAGGAAATCAAGCTTCTGGTGGCTAGTGGTCAAAGTAAATTCCGTGGCATTCTGATTATAAATGGACACACCGGGTGGATATAATTCAGGGTTAAAGGTCAATCCCTGATTGTCGGCCTGCTCCCTCCTCCGATTGGGCTGAAGTTGGGGCTTGTCATTCTCAAGTTTGTAGACCTGGCTTATGAATTCGTACAAGCCTTTCTCGACTACTGATGTTAGCCTAGGTACGCGTGGGTTAATAGTAGTAATAATAATAATAATAATGATAATAATATTGATAATAATAATAATAATAACACAACATCAATTATAAATATTAGCGTTAACAACAACAATAAGAAGAAGAATCGTAGCATCATCACTAATAAAAATATGAATGCCAACAAAACAAACAACATCAAAACAAAGAAAACAACAACAGCAGCAACAATAACAACAACAGCAACAACAGCAATGGCAACAACAACAAAAACAACTACAACAACAACAACCACAACAAACGACCTATGCTTATTATAATTGCAAATTGTAACGGCAGGAAACTCAATAGTCTTAGCATAGATAATCTGGACGTTAACGTTCGAAGGGTACTGGAAGTAGGTCAAGGTCCTCTCTATGGCTTGGTAGGCGAATAGGCAGATGCAGGTCGTCACGCATATCGACCAAATCAATCTGGCAAAGATTTTTTTCGTCTTTATTATTATTTTTGTTGTTGTTGTTGATGTTGTTATTGTTGTTGTTGTTGTTGCTATTGTTGTTGTTGATGTTGTTTTTGTTTGTTGATGTCATTATTTTCATTTTTGCTTATTTTTTGGAGATTATTATTATTATTATTATTATTAACAGCAGAAGTAATGCTATAGCAGTCGCGACAGTAGTAGTAGCGGCAGTAGCAGTATTAGCAGCTAAGTAATAAGAGATTAACGATTGATTAATAACAACAACAACGAAGACAGCAACAATAACATTAGCGACAACAAACCAAAGACTTCAAATACATACCTCCTCACGCGATGTGATCTTCTACTGAAGACGTATTTAACTCCGTGTAGCGTCGTGTGTTCCGTGAAATGCCGCCATTTTTTCCAGATTTGAGATTCCCTCTTTGACGCCATTTTTGTCTTCTCGTCACCCGAATCCCGGCCATCTTTGTTTTTTGTTGATTCTTTCAACTTCCTTGAGAAGTTCCATTCGACTATTTTTCTCATCGGGAAGGTTAGGATGTTTACAATTGCTGATTGAGTTTTAACTTTTTCATCTTGGTTACCATTCTGGTCTGTACTTTTTTCAGTACCCAATTGGTCAGTTCCTTTACTACCCAAATGGTCCATACTATTACCATTCCAATGGTCTGTCCCTCTGTTATCATAATGGTCATAACTTGTGCCATTCAAATGGTCAGCCCTATTAACACCCAAATGGTCAGCCCTTTCAACACCCAAATGGTCAGCCTTATTAACACCCAAATGGTCAACCCTATTAACACCCAAATGATCAGCCCTGTTAACGCCCAAATGGTCAGCCCTATTAACACCCAAATGGTCAACCCTATTAACACCCAAATGATCAGCCCTATTAACACCCAAATGGTCAGCCCTATTAACGCCCAAATGGTCAGTCATATTACTCTTCAAATGGTCCCCTTCATTGATGACAAAAACGGTGTATTTTGGTGGCTGATGTTCTGCTTGCATTGATTTGACGTTATCAATTTCTTCATAAACATTATCGCCATAGTTATAATTACGGCCAGTATCAACATCGTCTTCGTCGTTACTGCTGCTACTGCTAGCTTTGAAGACATTCTTTTTTGGTGTGTGTATGTACGTATGTGTTTGTGTGTGTGTGTGTGGATTTTTAATTAATTTTGAGTGAATTTTAAAGAAATTCGAAAGAAATTTTTAATAAACTCAAAATGATATTATGCTTACATAAGATTAATTTAGTATTTCTTTTAGATTTTGATCTAATTAACTGATTTAATTATATAATTACCTTTATTTCAAAAGTGAAGCTTTCTTCTCTTTCGTTTTTGTTTTCAACAAATTTACTTTCGCTTTCACTTTCGATCTCTTGGTCGTTATTTTTATTACAACGGTTTCGAGTTTTATCATTATTTTCCATTCTGTTGCACTGATAACGCCATTCGATAAACTTTGATAAATACAAAAAATCAAATCTGTTAAAGAGAAGCGCTATATAAATCAAGAAATTTTGTGCGCATGTTGTTACGCGCGTGTGTGTGCATGTGTGTATGCGTGCGTGAGTATGTGTTATACTACGGATTATAGGAACAATTGTACGTGGCTTGATATGGGAACAATAACATGCATCTTCAATTTACAAAAGGTTCCATTATCTACCGTTCCTTTGATACGATATTTATTGTGAGGGTACTTTGAAGAACCTTATAAGAACCTTTGAGTACCTCTGAATGGCATTAATCTAAACTGAAAGATCATTTTCGAGTCTGATGGTTATATTTTTATTGTTAGTCATCATCGTCGTTTGTTTATTTTGATCAATACTTCAAAAAGTTGTCTGTGTGTGTGTGCGTGTGTATGTGTGTCAATATAATTATTAAATTTATTTAGATATTCAAAAATCGATAAATTCGTCTAAATAAATTAAATCATTTAATAAGTTGCATTTAACCATCCGTAATATATCATGTTGAAAAAACCCGTTTATTACAAATAAGAAAATTTATGATAATATGTGTTTGTGTGTGTGTATGTGTGTATTCATGTGTTTTGTGTGCGTGCGTGTGTGTGTGTTGTGTGCGTGCGTGTGGGTTCGTTCATTTTGGCGGCATTCTTCTAGGAAGAGACGGCGCTTTTTGATTGCAATCATTCTAAAGGGAAAAATTAAATTTTCTGATCATAAAAAATTGAAATGATCATATATTATGTAAATAAAGACAAAGAAAGAAAGAGAGAGAGGAGGAGAGAGAAAAAGAGAGAGAGAGAGAAGAAAAAGAAAAAGAGCATACTTTGAGCTCCACATAAAATATACTGGGAGCTGTTGGTTCTTTTCTTGGCGCTCCCATCATCTGATTCAACTGCAATTTTTCATGTGTGTGTGTGTGTGTGTGTGTGTGTGTGTGTCTGTGTAAATGTACGTGTGTGTATGTGTGTGTGTAAATGTCTGCGTGTGTATACTATCCCACCAACCGTTCTTTTGTCTTCAAACGTTAATAACAGGTCCGTATAATCACACTGTCCATTCTCCTGTTTCACAAATGATAATTATTATTTTTATTACAATAAATTATAACTAAAATTATTTCAATAGAAATGCGTCAATAGAAATGGTTGATAAAAATTCTGACGGACCTGAGGGCATGGAACTGTTAAATATCCAGGCCAGTTGCTTAGGTGATTCTATAGTATATACCGACAAAATAATTCAATTTTTAAAATCTATAAAAATTAGATAGAAAAAATTAGGGAAAATATGCCTATTTCTAATTCATTCTAATTTTAACCATTACATCATGACGGTGTAGAAAAAACCTTTCTGTAGTATTCCGTAAGATTCAACAGGTCACTGTGTTTTACCCTCTCCCCGACAACTTTGTAAGAACCGTCGGCGTATTCGTTGACCATGTAGTGTTTGCATTTGCGCTGGTCTCGAAACGATAACGAGTATCCGATACGAGATTCGGCCACTCGAATTAGGTAACATCCCGTTTGTTTGTTTGACAGGAGACGTTCTGTTTCACTGTAGGCAGGTTAATGTTTTTATTCATACATCTTCAATCATTGAATTTCGTTGAGACGTTTATTCGCATTCTAATGAAACCTGATTACACGTTACAATTTAATTTACCGTGCTTAATAAAGGCTTTCAAATCCATATATAACGAATCAGTCATAAACATCAATTAATGATAATTAATAAAATCAACCATGAATAAAATGATGACACGACAGAGTCAGACAGACAGGCAGAAAATAGACAGACGGACAAACAGACAGACAGATAGACAGAATGGTAGATACTAACGTCCTGGAGATCATCCCGTGAAACCATTCAGGCAGTTGTCCATTTTTTTGGGGCATCTTATTCACCTGCGTTTTCTGGAACCAGTTCATCGTAGCCTTCCTACTTCCAAGCTCTCCGTAGACAGTTGGATCGATTTTGTTGGCCTCCTTGACTAACTTGCTGATGTCTTCCAGGTGATCTTCGTCACTCAGGTCGTTTGCAGTGGACTCTGATTTTTCCTGTTGAAATTGTTGAGTGATCTCTTTTACAATAGTGTCCGCTTCATTCTGCTACATTGAAGGAATGAATAAATAATGGCTCTTTGTTGAGCCCATTATTAAATTTTATATTAATATAGTTATTATTATATTATATTTATACATTTATTTTTGTGCTGTTTTTGACTGTATCTACTAACCAAATGATTTAGTTTTGGGTAGAGTCTATTGTAAGCAGTAGCTGCCTTGTGGTCTTTGATGGACCAGGTTCTGCCATTCGGTTGCGAATGAGGTAATGTCGGCGGCAAGGTTGGTCTTTTCGGTGATTGTTGTTGTTGTTGCTGCTGCTTTTGTTGCTGCTGTTGGTGTTGTAGCGACAGCGAATTTGTCGCCACTTTGGCTGGTTGATTGCTCGTTTTTGGAAATTTAATCACTTTTGAATACAAATCAGTCAAATCGGTATACTCGTCCTTGCCTGGAGCTAGAACCTTTGCGGAGCTAGTTTTGTTATTGTTGGCTTCATTTGCTCCATCCAATTTCGCATCATTTTCAACGGCTTTGTCGACCTTTTTGTCTTCTTTAGACGCTCTTGTTGGCCTCTCCTTTAGCTCGTCGGACAAGGATTTGTAATATGAAATAACTTCACTGCTGCCTGCTGAAATTGGATGATTCAACGTTGTACGTTGAAAAGCTTATTATCGATTGTTGAAAGTTCAAAAAATTTTTTTTGTAAACTACTACATTGAAACGCTATTCAATTGACATGGCGTTATTTGTGTTTATCTTAAACGAAATAATAAATAAATAATAATAATATAATTATAATTTATATTATTATTACTTTTTGCGGTGTCAACTCGATCAAGAAGGAGTCTGTTGAGATCTTTCAAGTGAGAGTTCTTTAAGAAGATGGCCGTTTGCCTGTACGACGGTTATTTTCATTATTACTATTATTTATCATTATTAATTATTATTATTATTGTTTATTATTATTATTATCATTATTGCTATTATTATTATTGCTATTATTCATTATTATATGCGGACGTTACAGCCATTTGAACGCCAAGTTTAAAATGTAACTGAACGAACGATACGTTTTAATTTATTAATTTATTCATAATAATAATAATAATTGATTAACTATTTTAATTATAATTTATTACTACCCGAGCGCCCATGTTTTGTCCCTTATAGAGGACATTGGTGGCGACAGTGAAAACGATGACGTCATAATATTTTCCGCCATGTCACGAGGAGACGATGATGACACAGAAGACGCCAAAGTGGAGTATCTTTGGAGAAAAATAATTTGAAATAAAATTCAACCTGAGAATATGCCGAATTGTTTAAATGAGATCTCATAGTTCTGGTGTCCGTTTACTGTCTTAGGCGTGCTTTTTTTTGAAAATTAAACTAAGTGCCTATGAAGCTGTACCCAAGCGCTATATAAATGAAATATTGTTATTATTATTATTAATTAATTAATTAATTTGTTTGCTTTTTTAATTATTTTTTAGGTTTGCGAACCTGCTTATGAAAGGCTCGTAAGGAAAGTTTATTTGATGGATGAGTTTGTAGAATTTCGTAACGTGCAACAAGCCGTGGTTTATAAACTAAGATTTGATTGATTGGTTAGTTGATTGGCTGTTAGTTGATTTGATGGTTGGTTAGTTGATTGGTTGGTTAGTTGATTGGATGGCTGGTTAGTTGATTGGCTGGTTGTTAGTTGATTGGTTGATTAGTTGATTGGTTTATTGTTGATTGGTTGGTTGGCTAATTGATTAGTTGAATAAAAGATCAGTCGAATGATTGATTGATTGATTAAATGATTGATTGATTAAATGGTTGATTGATTAAATGATTGATTGATTAAATGATTGATTGAATAATATACTGATCAGTTGGTCAGGTGATAATCAAACGATGCAACACAAACTTGTTCTTTAACGTATTTCTCATCAAAAATATTCAGAGCGTTGTTGCAACTGCTATCACTGCTATAACAATTCTCATACTCAATGTCATCAATACTGTTGTTGTTGTTGTTATTATTATTATTGTTGTTGTTGTTGTTGGTAGCGATGTTGTTGTTGTTGTTGTCAAGTCGAACCGGTTTAACGCAGCAAATTACCGAGGTGTTAACTTTGATGCACTTGTCAATCATTTGTTCGATGGTTGTCTTAAGATGGAAAAAAGTTATTATTATTATTAATAATAAATAATAATAATAATAATTATAATTATTATTATTAATTAAAATATTCGACCTTGAGTTGAGCGAAGGTCGAATTGGGTTTCCTTCTTATCGGTGGTTTTGCAGTTGTCGGACTTTGTGGTGACTTGCGGGTGAATGAAGGAATGTTAAGATGAATGGATGAATGAATGAATGAATGATGAATTAATTAATTAATTAATTAATTAATTAGTGAGTGAATGATGGCAGAATTAATTATTTATTTACATATTTCACTGATTGAACGAATGAACAAATAAAAAACGACAGAAAAAAATAAACGAACGAACGAACGAGCGGATGAATGAAAAAAAATTAAAAAAAAAACGCAGACGTACAACGCTGATGTCATTATCTCTTTTGAAAAGTGAACTCAGAATATAATTTTCTGAATTTTCAAAGATGTTAAGAATGCCATTTGATAGGGTGGCTTCCACGTTGTTGTTCCACGTCCTCAGGTCATACGTCACCAGCTGTCCGGCATTGTAAATTTATTTTCAAAACAAATAACTTGTTAATTATTCAAATGAATATGTTTAATATTTAAATTAATTGAATGAATTTTGAGTTATTCAATTTTGAAAAAATAATACAAACTTCGCCATTGTAATGTCGAATGCTAAATAAATTAGCCCGCTTTGCGTCACAAGTCACAATTTCCGGGTATTTCTCGATGAATTTTTTTGTTAGGTTGCTGTCCTGTTTAGTGAAAATGAATTTATGTATGTATGTATGAATGAATGAATGAATGAATGAATGAATTAATGATTGATTGATTGATTGATTGATTGATTGATTGATTGATTGATTGATTGATTGATTGATTGATTGATTGATTGATTGATTGATTGATTGATTGATTGATTGATTGATTGATTGATTGATTGATTGATTGATTGATTGATTGATTGATTGATTGATTGATTGATTGATTGATTGATTGATTGATTGATTGATTGATTGATTGATTGATTGATTGATTGATTGATTGATTGATTGATTGATTGATTGATTGATTGATTGATTGATTGATTGAATAAAAAACGGTAACAGCTTAAAAAGCAGACCTTTATAACATCATCTGACAGTTTGATAACCATATCCTGTTGATTTTTTTTTACTTGTTTGCATTAAATATGAATGAATGAACGAACGAACAAACGAACGAATGATTGATTGATTGATTAATTGAATGAACAAACAATTTGGTAGATGAATGAACGAATAGGTAACATGAATAAAAATATTATCAAGAGTATCATAAATAACAATAAATGTAAAATTAGCGCTAGAGTATAAACGGAAATAAATATGACGTAATAACGGTGAAAACAACAAAAATGTCTTTTTGCTTGTCATTTAATTGTATTCAGGTTATTTCACCACTTTTGAAATTAAAAAAAATCCTATATAATACTATGAATGGTCTTCGTTCCGGAAGTTGTTTGGGGGTTAACTCGATATATTCCGATATATACATTTCGTCTGTAATTTGCCGGTAGTTCTGATGGCCATGATAATGATGATGATGAGGATGATGATGATGATAACGATGATGATGATGATGACGACGGTGATGTAGTAGGGATGGTGATGATATAGCAATGAAAAACGAAACGATGATGATGACGATGAATGATTGGATCGATGGAAAGTGATGATGACATCTCCAACGAGAGTAAGTTGTAAGGATGATGATGAAGATGAGTGGCGATAAGTTTGCAATGTTCTTTTCGTTTTGAAAATTAAGCCGTATTATGATGGAAACGTCAATTGGTTAATGATAAAGCTACTTTTCAACAAATGTAAAACCTCAGTAACTAAGTGGTGAACAAGTTCGCCCGATATATTCATCATGAACTGCTCCAGAGAATTGACCTCCTTAGATTCAGCGCTATAAAAATCATAAATATCAATGGAGCGAGACTTTTTGTTGATCTGCTTTGGTGTTTTGCTGGCCATATAAGTGGTACGTGGGCTTAGGAAGCGATTCATACGCTGAACCAGCCAGGAAAATAATTCGTTATACAATGATCTGATTAGGAAATCAAGGAAATCTGAAATAGAAAACAAATAGTTTGTTACTATTTAGCTTGAATTGCTAATTTTTCACACAAAAACTACGGAAAGATTTTTAGTGGAAAAACAATAATGTATGTATAGAAAGCTGTATGACCAAATCCCAAAACTAAACCAAATAAACTTATTAAAGTTCGAAATTCACTTCGAAATAACACAGTAAATTTACGAAACGTAAAGATGTCAAAATTTAGAATTAACTTAAAGAAATGCATACACGCCCTACATACACACCACACACACACACATACACACACAAACACACACACACACACACAAACTTAAGGTACCAAAACACTATTACACACGCAAACGAAAATATATAAGTATGAGAGGCATGGCTATATATAAATTATAAAAATGGCTAGACTCGATACATTTTTTAGATTTCTCTCTGACCAACTTCTCTGTAAAAATATGTATCTTAGAATTTTTGTTAGTGAAGAAAAATTTAGTCTCGTATCGTATCGTAGCTTATAGTATCGTATCGTATCGTAGCTTATAGTATCGTATCGTATCGTATCATATCTTATAGTATCGTATATACCTTCTGCTTCATCTCTGGTGTACATTTTCGTGCAGTTAGCGTCACCAACGCCCACATGTTTCCCGTACAAATTCTGTTCAAACTCATCGCCATCCATGCCTAGTATCTCCTTTAGAAATTTTTATAATTGAAACAATTGTTATTAAACGAATTAAAAGTAGTAGTATTAGTAGTGGTAGTAGTAGTCGTTGGTAGTAGTAGTAGTAGTAGTAGTGGTAGTAGTGGTAGCGGTGGTAGTAGTGGTATAATAGTAGTAGTAGTAGCAGCAGAAGTAGTAGTAGCGGTAGTAGTAAAAACCGTTACTACACCGACCGAATGAGTTTGTAGAATCTGCTTGGATTTTTCGTCTAGAACAACTTCGTTTAGTTTGGTCCTCTGGAATGAGATGTTTCCTAAACTGAGGATAAACTTTATTATTGCGTCTGCATCTTTTATTTCCTGGTTGTTTTTTTTAATTTATTAACTTCATTTAACATTGGATTAATATTCTCAACCATTTCTTAAATTATTTTTAGTGTAGTATTTATTAGTAGTAGTTGTATTTATGTTAGTAGTAGTAGTAGTAGCCGTAGAAGTAGTAGTAGCCGTAGAAGTAGTCGTAGTAGTGGTAATAGTAGTCGTAGTAGTAGTAGTAGTAATAGTAGTAGTAGTAGTAATGGTGGTAGTGGTAGTAGTAGTAGTAGTAGTAGGAGTAGTAGTAGTAATAGTAATAGTAGTAGCAGTAGTAGAAGCAGCAGTGGTAGTATTTTTGATTTAATCATTATTAAATCAACATTTAGACGACTTCGACGATAAAAGTTTAAATCTGTTTCAATCAATCCAACCTTTTGGCTGAATCCAACACAGACCATAGATTCTAACAGCTGTTTGTATTTGTTATTTAGCGCTTCATTCGATTCGGAACTTTTATTTTGCAGTAATTTATATTCTATGTTTTGCCCCCCAGCTATCTTTTCGTTGGCGCTTGCATAGTGCAAGACGTGGAAATTTGATTCGCTTTTGAACTGGTCAGTCAGTCGCCACTGGTCTAATAGGGATGTGGCTAGCTTCATGCCGATTGCTGTTCGGAAAATGACGAGTGATTGAGAGAGAGAAAGAGAAAGAAAGAGAGAGAGAGTGAATGAATTAATGAATTAATGAATAAATGAATGAATGGATAGATGAATACATGGATAAGTGGGTGAATAGATGAATGATTGAATGAAGGAAAACAATTTGAGTTCATTTAATCTAACCCTAACCTTAAATAATTGAACGAACGAACGAAGAAATATAAAAAAAAAAATTTTTGAAAAAAACATGAAAAATCATAGTACTAAAAAACCCGTAGTTATCTATTTTAAATATTTACCAGAGCCTGATTCAAAGCAAAATGTCAAGGCCATCGCGAACCGACTGGAGTTCCTGTTTGATTCGGTCGAAGCATTGCCGAACGCTTCCAAAATCGGAAAAACCTTTTTGAAAAGAAACCATTTTTAATTTTACTCACTCATTCATACATTCATTCGTTAGTTCATTCGTTAGTTCATTCGTTAGTTCATTCGTTAGTTCATTCGTTAGTTCATTCGTTAGTTCATTCATTCATTCATTCATTCATTCATTCATTCATTCATTCATTCATTCATTCATTCATTCATTCATTCATTCATTCATTCATTCATTCATTCATTCATTCATTCATTCATTCATTCATTCATTCATTCATTCATTCATTCATTCATTCATTCATTCATTCATTCATTCATTCATTCATTCATTCATTCATTCATTCATTCATTCATTCATTCATTCATTCATTCATTCATTCATTCATTCATTCATTCATTCATTCATTCATTCATTCATTCATTCATTCATCCATTCATCCATTCTCCCATTCGTTCGCCTCCTCATAATTCACCATAAATCGCTTATTGAAAAGTCATTTCGAATTAACCATTTAGACCAAATGGATATTAGTTTGAAGTTAAATATAAAAAAATGATATTTTTTAATTTGAGACTCCACTTACGTTCAAAAATTTATTTTTAAGTTGAACATCATCGCAGTAGATGTGCGACCAGAAGTTCACCAAATGTTTGCAGGCTTCAGTTTTGCCGGAACCTGACTCGCCTCTGGTTAAAGGTTATTAGGTTAAAGGTCAATTACACACTTTCTAGGTTCAGAGCAATCAACACACACACAAACATTGTATACAAATACGTGCTAAACGGAGAGCCCCGTGAAAAAATGTTAAAATGAAAACATCCTCTTGAAACTGGTTCACGCACTGTGAATTTGCATGTGCTAGTACGCCTGTGTCTCGTATTTAACATAAAGAATTTATCAAATCAAACTTGATAATGTAATGTGTTAATAAAGTATTTAAGACTGTGCGCTAATTGACACATGTATGTATCAAATCTAAAATGGCATATGAGGAAATGATTGCTTCTGATTGAATAAGAAATTAATATTAATTCATCATCTGTACATTTCTCTCCTTTAAATTTCAATAACTATTTTTACTTGGTGTTTTTAGGTTGTGTAAAACATGAACAATCCTCAAACACACATACAGACGCATGCAGACACACACGCACACACACCACCACACACACGCATACACACATACTTCATAAGAATTCCCTGACGCGATGATGTGGCTTCTGATTCTAGTAGCATGGCCTCATATACGTTCTGACCGAATGAAAATATGTGGCTGTGCTTCACGCTTCCATGAAAGGACCATTGTGAATAGCCTTCCATAACCTTCGGGGCGTACAAACACATACATACACACACCACACACGCACGCACACACACACACGCACGCACACACACACACACACACATTGCCAAAACCAACCGTCTTGTTATAAATATTCAATTTGGTTTGAGGCCTCATGGCTACTAGGATATCTCCAGCGTTCGTCTGTAGTTTTTGGTTACAAATTTAAAAAAAAATTTAATTGGTTTGATAAAATCGTGAGTTAATCTAGAGCGCGCACACACACCCGCACACATACACACACATACACACCACACACACACATAATACACACCCATACACATTCATATACACATTGAAACTCTTAAACTACACGACCCCACTTATAAAGAGAATCATAACTAACATATATCAGATTAGCCATGTATCTTTCCTTTAGCATATTGAACATGAGATTGTCGTTATTGGCAGCCATATTAGTACACAAACAATTGATTTTAATAATTATTTAATTAATTATCTTATTATATTATATAATTAAATAATTATTCAATTAATTTTCTTATTATATTATATAATAATTATTACCCTTTCTGTCAGCCCTATCAAACTCTATTTGTAGTATCTTCCTTATTGCAATACACTATTAAACGAATACATGTATGTATATGTGTATGTATGTATATATGTATGTATGTATGTATGTAAGTATGTATGTATGTATGTATGTATGTATGTATGTATGTATGTATGTATGAATGTATGCATGTACGCATATATGTATGGTTTTATTGTGTCGGTTGTTCCAAACAATGGCTAGCTAATTGAAAGATGTTATAAAAAGATTGCTGTTTTTTTGGGAAATTATTGTTTTTGAGCCAAGATGCATACATACATACACACATACATACACACACATATTTATTTATTTGCATACAAACATACATACCTACATACATTCAACATTCAATACAACTTGAGACGATTTTTAAAAGTCAATGCCGTCTTCTTTGTCGTTAGTCCATAAACCTCAAGCACGCGCTTTATGTATGTTTAATTTGTGAACATTTTCTGTGTATGTGTGTGTATGTATGTGTTTATGTGCGGGCCAATGTGTGCTGCATATGTATGTGTATATGTGTTCGATTTTTTTTGCTTTCGAACCTGGAGACGGCGTAACAACGCCTTGGAAACGATGACAATACAGAAGGTGCCGATTCAATTCATGGCTGGTCTCTACTGTATTTGTTACAATGGAACTTGCAGTAAATAAACTAACTCATACGTTTGTTATGATAAATGAACGAACGAATGAATGAACGAACGAACGAATGAACAAACAAATGAATGAACAAACGAATGAATGAACGAACGAATGAATGAAAACTTAATTGAATCCATAAAGCAACTGCTAGTGATTAACGAAATAACAGTGGTCACGATACGCGATCAACTGAAACTTACAGCACGGGAACAATCAAACTAATAAATCAAGGACTCTCTTTTTTTTTATTCATTTCTTTATTAATTTCGAAGTACTCGTCGGATTATGTACAAAGATTCCATATACATTTCAAATATCTACACGTATATACACTATATCAATTGATGTTTCTACTAATACAGGCTTATTTTGTAATGTACATTTTACAAACACGCACACACACACACGCACACACACACACACACACAGACAGACAGACAGACATGAGAAGTCTTATAAAGCCATATTCCTGCCCTCAATACTGACTGATACGGCAGCCTGCGACTTGGAACCTTTCTTTCTCTCGTTGAACGCCCTTTGAAGTTGCTGAAACTTATTCAACTGCTTCTTGCTAGATACATTCTGAAAATTATTATTTAAAAAGTTTAAAATTACTTTAATTAATTAATTAATTAACTGATTTAATTGGCTAATTAACTTAGATAATTAATCGAACTATTCATTCATGGTTTAGTAAGTTAGCTCAGCTGCTATAGGCACCATGTTTTGTCTAGGAGTCACAGAGCCACACACACGCACGCACACACACACACACACGCACACGCGTACATACACACACGCACGCACACACACAACACAACAAAATACAGACCCTCGGTTTATCCTCAACATTCCACCTAGGCCTGATGACGTAGTCTTTGATAGAGGGGGCAGGCACTCTAGCCCTGTACACGTAGCCCGGGTCACCAGGTCGTAAGGGCCTTAAAAATTATTCATTTATTATCAATCCTTATATATTTGCAATGATTAATTTTAATTTAATAATAATAATAATGATAATAGACATAATATAAAATTACAATTTAATATAATTTTCACTAATAATAATAATAATGATAATAGACATAATATAAAATTACAATTTAATATAATTTTCACTAATAATAATAATAGACATAATATAAAATTACAATTTAATATAATTTTAACACGAAAAATTAAATCCACAGACTTTTCTTCCTGCTTCTCGACAAGTCGATCAGAGTCAGCACTTAACTTTCTCTTCTTCGGTAACTGTTCATAGTCCCTCTGCTCTCTTTCCTCTTTCGATAAGGCCTTATAATCTGCATTCTGACTGAATATAGGTCTGGCCCAGTTAGCTATGGGTGAAGTTTTTTTTTTCAAAAATTATTATTCGGTTAATAATTTAAAGTTTAATTTATTTTAAAATAAGATGTCTCATTGACACAATTATTATTATCATTATTATAATAATAATAATAATTATTATTATTATCATTATCGCCATCACTAACTGATTAATTTGTGGCACATCTCTTTGTTTTTTTTCGTTTCTTTAGGGTGTTTGAAGAGGTACATTACTGCTTTTCCAAGGCCACTCATTTTTAAACCCTCTGTGCTGATTGGCGGGAACTGTAGAGGAATCAATCAATCAATCAATCAATCAATCAATCAATCAATCAATCAATCAATCAATCAATCAATCAATCAATCAATCAATCAATCAATCAATCAATCAATCAATCAATCAATCAATCAATCAACCAATCAATCAATCAATCAACAACTGACGTCTAGCAGCTGCTTCAGCAGGGCCTCTCTGATTTCCAGGTGGGGTAGGGAGTGGTCGGGTAGAGGGGCCAGCCAGCTCTGAAATATTATTTTCATCGTTATCACCTTAATCTATCTTATTACCAAGTCTATCAATTTTCTTTACAATGTTAAAAAGTTACACTCTTCGCCCTCTCTTAAATAATTATAACCATAATTTGAAAGGACGACGACATAAAGGTTAAAGGATAATGTCTCTCTTGTTGACTTTGCTTCAGAGGTTTCAACGACAAACACACACAGCGTATATGAGTACAGGTGCAAACCACGCATCATGCACATTGCACATGATAGCACATGAATATTCATAATAAAAAATATAATAGTAATTAACAATAATAACAATAATAATAATAACAATAATAATAATAACAATAATAATAATAACAGAGCCTGGCCAACCGTTATCGAGCTTAAGATCCCAGAATCTAGAAGCGAATTCACCATGTCGGCCCTGTGGAAGAAAAAAATATACAAATAAATTAATAAATTATGCTAATGATGACGATAATAATAATAATAATAACAACAACACCAATAATAATAATAATAATAATAATAATAATAATAATAATGATGATAAAAATGCATACTTTTTCAGTTGAGCCTTGATGTATGGTAGCTGCAACATGACACGAATCGCAGGCTTTCTTTGCTTATTTAGCTCCCTGTCTTGCTGTTGGCGATGATGATGATTATCGTTGAGGCGATTATGATGATGGTTGTTGGAGCGACTGTGGTGATGATGATGATGATGACAACGGTTATGTTGATGATGATTAATGGTGGGTGATGATTGTGATATTGGCGATGTAAACTCTACTCAATAATGATAGTTTATATTAAATCCTATTGCTTTAACTACCATCATTCATATCAGTCATCGTCATTCTTATCATCGTCATCATCGTCGTCGTCATCCTCATCGTCGGAACCAACCTCAGCAGCCTCGTTCATTATCTTCATCATGTCAGCTATGATGTCATCGTTATCGTTGATGATGTCACCGTCATCATTCTTCCTCCTCCTCTTCTTCCTCTCCTGTTTCTTTCTTTCCATCATTAGGTCGAAGTCAGAGACGAATGGCCTGTTAACGATGATGATGATAGGTAGAATAATGATCATCTTCATCATCGTCATCGTCATCATCTTTCTCTTCATCATCTTCTTCATTCTCATCACCATCGTCGTCGTAATCATCATCGTCATCATCATCACAATCACCATCATCATCATCTACTCACTCTCTGTCAACTGTCTTATCAGTGATACCGTGACCATCATCGTCGTCGTCATCAGATGATAAGGTCGGTAAGATTTCATCACTTTCAGTCGGTTTCTGCTGCTTCTTATCTGATCAAAAACGTGATGAAGATGTTGATAAGTGAATGAGTGAATGAAGTTCTTGACTGGATAATAGGAATAGACGAATGAATGAATGGATGAATGAAGAATGAATGAATGAGTGAACGAATGAATGGCTAATTGAATGAATGAATGAATGAATGAATGAATGAATGAATGAATGAATGAATGAATGAATGAATAAATGAGTGGAGAACCTTTTTTATCTTTTTTGTCTTTTTTTGATTGGGCACTGATGTCTGCTTCTCCAAAGCCCTTTAATCAACAAATCAATCAATCAATTAATCAACCAATCAATCGACCAATCAATCAATCAACAAATCAATCACTCTACAAACCAACCAAAAAATTAATTATCCAATCATTCAACTCATCTTAGTCAGACAGTAAGAGTTCATCAGCAAACCAGCCAATCAATTAGCCAACCATCCAATCAATCAATCAACCAACCATTCAACCAACCAACCAATCATTCATTCATTCAGTCAGCCAATCAATCAACCAATCAAATTCAAACCTCAAATTCTTCCTCTTCATCACTCGAGCCAAATATATCCGTGATCAACTCGCCAACGACAGACCTGTTGATCATAACAATAACAATAATAATAATAATAGCACTAATAATTATAGCAAAATAATAATAAAAATATATAACTAACTCTTTATCGCTATCTTCCTCATCACTGTGCTTATCTGTTAAATTAATTTATCAATTTATATACTAATTACATTATTAATGTCGACAACAACCACAACAACAACACCAACAACAACAACGACCACGACAACACCAACAACAACAACAACAACAATAATAATAATAATAACAACAACAACAACAATAATAATAACAAAATCAAAGGCACCTTCCATATGAACATCATTATCAGCATTTACGCTATCTCCGTGGGGTAGATTTTTATCATCATCCAAATCATCATTATCAACATCCTTATTATTGTTGTTATTATTTTCTTCATCATTATCATTACTTTTATTAATGTTGTAATCAGCATCGTCGCTGTCTTCGTCGTCTATATTTTTTCCACTAGGTTCACTTTTAGTCTTAACTACGCCATAATCATCATCACCATCATCTTCTTTGCTGCTATCATTTAGCTTGTTATCATCATCATTATCATTACTGTCAACTTTATCATTAATGCCATCATCATCATCATCATTATTATTATTATCGTTATTATTATTATTATTGATAATAAAATCATCATCATTGCTTTCATTGTCGTTACTTTTGTTGATGTTTTCTAGATTATCATTATTATCTTCTTCGGCCGAATGATTAACATCATCATCATCATCATCATCATCATGATTAACGTGATCATCATCATGATTGACGTGATCATCATCAGCATCAGCAATATTATTATTATTATCATTATCATCATCTCCATCTGAATTATCGTTCTTAATGCTATCATGTTCACCACCACCACCATCATCATCATCATTGTTATAGATAGTATCATTATTGAAAATATCATTGCTATCATCGTTATCCACATTATTAACATGATAATCTCCACCATCATCACCATCGATATCGTTATCATCTTTATTATTTCTATTATTATTATCATCATCATCATTACCATCATTACTTTCTACATCGGCTTCAACTTGTTCGTTACTGTCATTAAATAAATCATCATCATCGTCGTTGTTATTATTGCTACCATTAGCATAATCTCCCATTTCTTCATCATTAACATCACTGGCTGCAGCTTCATCATCATCATCATTATCGTCACCGACTGCAGCTTCATCATCATTATCATCATTAGCTGCAGCTTCATTACCATCATTATCACTATCGCTGACTTCGTTGTCATTGTTATCATCCCCACTACCAACATCATCATCACCATTACTTACATAATCATTGTTATTCATTCCCTCGATATTATCGCCATCATCGTCGTCGTCATCGTCATATTGTTGAGCATTGTTATTATCATGATGATGATGATAATTATCATCGTCACCGTCATCACTATCAGCAGCACCTCCTCCGACTCCATCATTATCTGCACCGACTTCAGGAGAACCATTCCCAACCTCATTACCGGCACCGTCTTCACCGTCGTAATCTGAATATCCAGCATTATTGATCACTTCATCGTCATTAGCGAAGTCCTCCTGGATGTTATCGTCGTCGGAACCGTAATTATCCGCCATTGCTCAATTAAATTTATTTGAAAAATAAATTTTATTAGAAAAATAAATCTACACCTTACTAAATTTAAAATCAACGTACAGTAAAGCGAAACTAGATTGATATTTATATTATTTTCCAAAAGCAAAGAAACAAAAACGAAAAAAGCATTGTAAACAACACCAATTAATCTTTTTTTATATTTCCATTCTTGGATGATATTTTATGGGTCAAGCTATTTGACTTGTTTGACTTATTGGCTTACATTCGAAATTGCATGGGTTTTAACAAAACAACTAATACTAAATATTTATTTGACTAAATATTTTTAAAACAAATAAATAAACCGAATTATGTAATTTGAAATAATTTTTGTAAATTTAAATGAAAATATTGCTTTTTGATACGAAAACACAGTGACTAACCTAAATGAAGATTATTTTTTTCAAAAATTTTAAAAATTTTTAATTTGATTTTTTTGCAATATCAATGATGATTATTGTGACCTAACTAATTAAGAAACATCAAACAAAATTTTTTAAATAAGATGAGTAGTTTGTTGCGAAATCGTTAGAGGAAATGACGTCGTGTTAACAGTAGTTATTTAACTGTATGGTAGTGAATTAGCCATTATACATTTGATATTTACAATAGTTGTTGAAGTGTGTGTGGTCTAAAATTATTTTAAATTTTCTCAGAAAAGTTTGAACTACGTGCGTACGTGCGTAAAATAAATTACTATTGTTTATTATAATGATGGATTTCCTATTATAAAAAATATGATTGATAAAGCAGTTTGTATGTCAAAGTTATTAATATTTTTAAATAATAAACACCACGGAAAACCTTTTAAATATTGTTTAAAAACTGCTATTTTATTAAGTTTTTAAGATATCTCTTAAATACTAGTGTAAGCATTAAAATACCGTTCAAGTATTTAATTACTCCAAATTCTTAACACTTCGAATATGCAAAAAAGTGTCTATAGTTCAATCCTATTAAGCCAACCTTTAGCTTCAGTAAGGCACTGTATTTCACTAAACATAAAACAATTTCTATATTGATATTAACAAAAATAATTGTGATATAAAATATTGATTTATTAAAAACATTATATGTACAAAAAACCGCTATCGCACGGTTGTATGAAGCCCGTTATGCCACTGCAGTAAGCCAACGTATGATTTCAGCAGCCAATTTCTATGAGCACTAGAATGTAAATAAAATATACGTATTAAGTTAAGTAAATATTTTACATAGCTTGTTCGTTAAAACCTATGCTCATGTATATGACCCATACATAAAACCAAATTCGTCAGTAAGCCAATAAGCCAACAATCTAAGCCAGTCAAATAGCCCAACCCGATTTTTTATCTTTCTTAGAATATAGATTCTATATTCTATTTATAAATAGAATATAGATTCTATATTCTATTTATATGTCTATTTTTATGTGGTCCTGCTTTTGTTGTTTGCTAGTTTTGTAAATCTTGTCAGATTAATTTGTTTTTTGGAGTTAAAATATTTTCACATTAAAAACTGAATATTCAAAAATGGACATGGAAAACTTTGATGTTGAAAAATATCGGACAGCACACGAAAGTGACACGGACTGGAAAATTAGGCGAGCGTTCATGCTGTCGAACTGTGAATATTTGAACGAGAGCCAGCTTGTATGCCTCGCAAATTGTTATGTCAACGTCAATCATTATGGCTGCTCGTAAGTTTTACATTCAAATTTTTTATGGTTCTTGTTTTATTTTATAGTGGATTTTGTTTATATTAGTTTTTTTATATTTCAATTTATTTTATAATTTGTTGTGAATTGTCCTTTCAAATGCAAATTGTTTGCTGAATTTATTTAAACAAACTCAATTGAATTAAATTATTATTATGTAGTAGTAATTCATGTGCTCAACATAAGAGATTTATTTTATAATACATTTATTACATGAGTAATAGATATTGTCATTACCGAGTAATTTATTTTATATTGAGCTACATTCATGTATGCATAATGTCATGGTAATGTGTTCTTTTAAATTGCAGGTACCCAGAAGGTGTGATGAAGCAACTTACTTACTACGAAGCTAACATCAATCAAGACTTGATAAGAAGCTATAAAAAAGCACACTCAAACTTCCCAAAGAATGAGAAATCGACAGAAGGACCACTTCACAGGGAAAGCTGGAAGGTTGCAGCAGGTCGACCTCAGTTCCTAAATGACCAGGACAAATCTTTTGACTCTCAGCCAGCTGAAACTTGCAGTTCACATTCTAAATTCAGGCAAGTAGATGGCAGTTTTTTCAAATTATATAAAACGTTTCAAGAATTAAATACTACCGCTAATAATAATACCAATGACGCTAAAAACGATTCTTCAAATTTTATGAGTAATTTTAAAATTGCAATGGATAAATGTAAGATGGTAGGAGAATCCAAATATGAGACACTGCTCAACAAATCATTTAACTGTAAATTTTATATTAATTCAATACTTGTGGGGGAAGCAAATGCGAATAATAAAAAGCAAGCAAGAATACATGCTTATGAAAATGCTTTTGAATTACTAAAGAAACCATCATTAGCAGTTGAGGAAGTTACTGCTGGTGATCATTGTGAACAACACTTGGTTGCAGTAAATGATTTAGATGCAGTTGAGGCAAATAATTTTGATTCGTTTAATGAGAAAAAGAACGTCATCAATGATTCCATGTCAATGAGTATCACAGCAATGAGTATCACAGAGCCTCTCACAGATCTGCTCGGAGATTTCATTGTTTGCAAGCCACTTTCATCTGAATCAAACCCAAAATCTATTCTATTACACTCTGCCTCACTAAACAATGCTCATTTATTATTTCAAGAAGATTATCTAATAGAACATAAACAGTTTTCTTGTGCTGTGCTCTTAAACAAAAGAATGTTATCAAAATGTCTAGCAAATACAAAATCAGATGCAAGTAATATGGCAGCCAATTTAGCTCTAGAAGTCCTTGAAAAACATTGTTATGTCGTTGTTGTGAAACAAAACTGTGATGCTGATGATGACGATGTTGTCTGTAAAACTTCATTGATGGGAAATCAGAATAATGCTATTCCCGGCTCTCTCAAACCCATTCCAGAATCAAACATTGGTCAGTAAAGTTGTATCATGTGGTGTTGATAATTTCATTATCATTTATGTAGTAGGCTCTTTGCGGTGTTAGCAATGCACGAATTTACAAGAGTTCATAAGAGAGTAGTATGTTTGAAGGCAGTGTTGATCTGGAGAACAAATCACTGATATTGTCACAAAAACATTTTACATGATTCACCATATTTGTTTTTTAATAAAAGCATATAATATAGGTAAATAATACTAGATAATGTTTTAATTTTTGACTTTCTGTAGGTAACAAGTTACTGAAGAAGATGGGATGGACAGGTGGTGGAGTTGGAAAGGTGGGCAATGAAGGTATCGAGAATCCAATCAGTTTGGAGTCGGTCATCAATAGGACCGGTCTCGGGTTTATTGATAAAAATGTTTGTGATGGTTTCATTAAAGAAATAAATAAAGTTGTTGAAGAATTTTTAGCATCTGGTAAGAAACAGGATCTAGTTTTTGGTACTGATTTCTCGAAGGAAGAGAGAGTAATTATTCATTCAGTTGGACTCAAATTTCATCTCAAATCGAAGAGTCACGGACAAGAACCTGACAGGTATTTAGTTTTAAGTAGGAAAAGAACAGCCTTAGAATTATTCGAACATATAATTGCCAGCGGCGGGGAAACTATGAAGTACCGTCTCATCGCGCCATCTATTAACGACAATTGACAATTTTTTTTTGAATCTTTAAAAACTTGTTAAAAATGTTTACCTTGTACAATAAAATGGTTTTAAATATCGGCTAAAGCGTGTTGTAGAGGTTGATTGCATGTGGAGATTGTGTTGTAGGCACGCAAGTAAGCGTTAAAAATGTTACAGTTATATCGCTGCTTGATATTTACAAAGTGTGAGTATCGAACCGTTGAATTGCATTCTTTTAGTCGAATGTCAAACATTTATTTAATTTTAAATCAATTGTCAATCGCACCGTGAAAAGTTGACTTAAATAAAAAATTATAAAATGAATTTTGCAATGAGCGGAGGAATAGAATGTTTCTATTTTGACGCCAGCATCAGCGAAAATGTCGAGATTGGGGACAACTTTTCGGAAACTGTTTTTGTCGATGGTCCTTGTATTAACGTCGATACTGTTGCTGGTGCTGAAAAAAAATCAAAATCATCTATTCTGAAAAGTAAAGTTTTTTAGTTTATTAAGTAACTTTTTATTTCTAATTTCTCTAGCTTTTTTCTTTTGTAAATCTAAATTTTTAATTAAAATAGTTTATTAATTTCACGAATTAATTCAGTCATGTTTTCATTACAAATAATTTATTTTTTTTCCTAGGTAGAGGTATGATAACAACATGCACAGAAAATTCTTTTGACCCATCCCCAGCACCTTCTCAACCTCAGCAGTCCATTCAAACCACCATTAAAAGACCACTGCTGCAATTTCTAAATGCAAACAACCAGCAACAGACGATACTAATTAGGTTTAATAATTCAAATTGTAAAGCTCAGTCCCAGCAAGATGAAAACTGCCATGCAAAGTCATTTCTTCCATTAGCAGGCTTAGGTCAAAAAAGAGATAATTAATTAATAATTAATTTTAATAGTTAATATTTTTTTATTTTCTTAATTCAGGAAATCTATAAAATTTTACTCACTTTTATATAAACAAATTTATATTACATTCAGGTACATAGTAGTAATTATTGTATTACAATTGTTTACATAGTTGTAAATACAAATTAAAATTGACAGGATTAAAAACATGTCTTGATGAGATGGCAAAGTTAAAATGTCGACAATGTAGTTATCAGGCTTGTTACGGTAAACAGTTAGAGGAGCATGTATCAACATTACATTCATCTGAGGCACTCGACAGATGCCTATGTTGTCAGATGATCTTTTTCAATGACGACGACCTAAAGATACATTATCAGGTAGAAGTAATTCAGTATTTTGTAGAAGTTGCTTTTATAAGTAACTGTTATAAATAACTGTTGATAAGTAATTTCCATAAATAAGTAATTGCTCTTAACTAAAATAACATTCAAATAGTTGTTATAATTTATAAATTTTTTATAAAATCAGAAGGTTAAAAAATTTCTAACTGACAACTAGAAACTGGAAAGTTTTCATTTAGTACTAAATTATATATTTTTAAAATATGTTATTAATTGAAAATATTTAAATAAATTAATAATATTTAAATAAGTGTAGAGAGCATGGAAAAATATAAATTATGTAGCACTGACTTAGAAATATGTATTCGACAGAGACATTTGCATTTTTTAAATATGTTTTCAGAAAAATCACCCTAAGTGTTACTGCAGTGAGTGTGGATTCATCAGTCAGCATGGCTATGTGATGAGGAGGCACATGCAGTCTCACACAGAAGAAGGTAGGAAGTGCATGTTCTGTAGCAAGCTTTACAAGGTTGGCCAGTTTGGTCTGGAAGATAGAATGATTGATTTGTTGATAAACTGAGATTAATTGGTTGATAAATCGGTAAATCGATTGCTAAATTGATTGATTGTTTAGTTAATTGATTGATTGATTTGTCGTCACATTGATTTGAGAGAAAATGATTATTTCAAGCGTTATTTTGTCCAAAAATCATTAATCATATTTGTACAAACCACCGAAATTTATTCTTTTCCACTACGTAATTTCGACATAATTTTATTAAAAAACTTTCATCCATAAAATAAAATTTCCAAAAATCTCATGTACTCAACAAAGGACAGGTATGTACTGAACATGCACTTGAAGATGGTTCACTCGCCAGTTGAAAAATCATTCACCTGTACGACCTGCTCCAAGTCATTCAACAGGAAAGCACACCTGGTCAGACATGAAAGAACTCATGCTCCTAAAAAACCTTTCATCTGCCATCATCCAAATTGTAATTATAGGTGAGATGATGAATTTATATAGATATAATTTAAACATACGTGCCCCTATGTTTCAAATACTTGGGTGTGTTGATTGTTTGGTAGATATCATCCCGTGATGTCAGGTAGTAGATATCATCTCGTGATATCATGATACAATGTTTCATCTCTTCTAAACCAAATCCTTTTTTGAATTTAGGAATTTTTCTACACAATAATATCTTGGCACATCTATGATGAATGATGTTAGTGACGATGATGATTGTTGTTAATGATGATTTGTTGATGATTGCTAACGGCAGTGCAAGCGAGAGATCAGACTTGAGCAAGCACTCCTTAGTTCATGGAGAGCCGCAGTTCAAATGTAATGTCTGTAGCAAGAAGTTCAGGCAGTCCAAAAATCGAGATCTCCATCTGAAAAGGTATATTCTTATTTACTAATGTTCTGTTCTCACACCACGCACACTTTACTTATTACGTAATCCACACACACACGCACACACACAGACACACAGGCCAACGAGATTACAAATGTGGCTGGTGCAACTTCTATGGCTACACATTCACGGACATCCGCAAGCACATTGAACGACAACACACCAAAGACCAACAACAACAGCAACTATCTCTAAACAACGACAACGGCAGCAACGATATTGAAACGACAACGACATTAATCAACAACATCATAACACCCACGCCACAACAAACATCAGAAACACAGTCATGTATAACAGATGAGTCAGCCTGTGATGACTACCTTGTTATGGTCGGACTTCTTGACCTTTCAACTTTTTGAATTAGTCGTTTAGATCCGCGTTTACAATAATTTTTTCACAATAATTCGCAGCGTGTAAGTGATTTTAATTAGTATTTTTCAAATTCATTAACAGCCCTCTACCGCGGCTTACAACCAGCAAAACATCAATGACGATGCCCGTGCGAGTTATGGCGTCATAAACAGCCACAATAACAGCGTAGATATAAGCAATTCTGACGACAATGACATCATCAATAACATTAATGATAATATTGAAGTTGACAATTCTATGGCAGTCCACAGTGACGTCATTGATGACGACGACGATGACGATGATATGACGCCCACAAACATCTGCTTAGATGTTGCGTCATTTGACGGTCGGTCGTGATTTTTATTCAATCAAATAAAATACCCATTTCTTTCAACTTTCTTACTATTTAAAATTCTTACAATGATTTATTTGTATTTCTCAATTTTTCAGAAAACCTGCCCATGTATGAAATAACGAAGAGTGAACTAACGTTTGATGATGACGACGATGACAATGTAACCTGCTGTTAACATGATTTTACCGCAACTACTAAATATAAATATATGTAAATAAATATGTATATATATATATTATTATTGTATAAATTGTTTCTGATACTTATTTTTTTGCAATTGTTAAATTGCAGTTAATGTTGAATGCTAGTCAAATATGTAATAAAAATCTTTTTACTTGATAACTTGCGGCTGTTTTTGAGTTTTGAATATCATTGCTACACTAATTTATATGTAGACATTCTAAACGTGTATGAAGGCGTTTTTTACATCCTTTATAAAGTTAAATGGAGAGAGAATTTTATTTATTTATCAACGCAAATGTAATAATAAAATGTTAAACTGTATATATATATATACATATATATACACATATTTATATGTTTGTGTGTGTAGTAGTAATAAAAATGTAACGTTTATTTACATTTTCTATAAAAATTTTGAACGATCATGATATCAAAAATATAAAAAACACGTATATATATATATATATACATATATATATATTTGCCAAGTCAAGTAACGACTTAAAACGCAACTGGAAATTAATTAATGAAATATTGTGCAACAATAAGCCTAATACCTCAGTTAACCACTTATTTACAAAAATAATATTTTAAATAACAGTCTTGACATCTGTAATGCTCTAAATAATAATTTCATTGACACTATAAACCAGGTTCAGTATGGACTGTCCAAGAACACCTGTTTAGATAAGTTAATAATTGATAAACAAAGTTACATCAACTCGTTCTATTTGGACCCTGTTGAGCCATCTGAAATTCTTAAAATAGTTAATAAATTTAAATCTGATAAATCAACTTATGACGGTTTTAATATGCATCTTGTAGAATTGTTTATTGAAGAAATTTTATACCCTTTCACACATGCAAGTTGTCCCTTTCACCATATTCTAAAATTCTTGACAATTAGTTGCCAGTCGTATGAAATTAATCATGGAAAAGTTTAGTATTCTGTCAAGTCTTCAATATGGTTTCAGATATGACCATTCGACTTTGTTGGCAGTTTTGGAAATGTACCATAGAATTTTACTAAATGTGAATGATAAACATTTGACTATGGGTATTTTTATTGACCTCACTAAGGCTTTTGACATTATTGATCATAAATTGCTTCTTCGTAAACTTAATTTTTATGGATTTAGAAGGGATTTACTGTCTTGGTTAAAAAGTTGAACAAAGATCAGTATATGCTGCTTGATTTCTGTTGCTCAGAAGTTCGAGCAGTAAATTTTGGAGTCCCACAAGGTTCAATTTTGAGACCTGCTTATTCGATTTTCATAAACGATCTCCTTAACGTATCCGCGCTATTCAAATGCATAATGTATACTGATGACACAAACATTCAAAAAATTTGAAGAATGGTTTGCTAACAATAAAGTCATTATAAACTCCTCAACATTAACATACCCCATTTTCGGTCTATCAATATTAACAAAGCTATTCAAGATTTAAACCTGACACTACTAAACGATATTCATATTGAAAAATCAAGCACAATTAAATTACTCGAAATATCCATTCGATGTAACTTATCATGGGTTACTCATATTTTAGATATAAGAAATAAAATGCATTGTTTTTAGGTGTCTTGAATAAAAAAAAAAACACAAATTAAAACCTACAATAGTTTTATCTTTCCGCATTTAGTTTATTGTGACTTGGTTTTGAGTAATAGTACGAATATTTAATTAATTTTTTGCGTATTTGCCAGAAGCGCTTTTTAAGAATACTTTATAATTTAAAACCAACTGACCACGCCAAACATCTGTTCAATGAATCAAAAATACTGACAATCCATCAAATAAATTTTTACTCTCAATCAGTATTTACGCTGAAATCTTTGCATAATTTATTGCCTTCATACTTTTCAAATTCCAAAAATTTTTCCCTTATCACGATATCTTTAGATACAAGGCAAAATCATAATTTTTATATTTATCCTTCAAGATTGAATGTAGTTAAAAACAGCGTATATCATACTGTTCCAATGCCATGGGACAGTGCTATTCCCGTTAGTATAAAAAATATTAATATCTTTTTATTTTAAAAAAGCCTTAAAAAATTTGCTGCCAATTTTAAACCTCCTGAATCTTTAAAATCATAGCTGACTAACCATTCCCGCCGGGTATTACGGAAATCATCTACTTAATCAAATATTATGCTTCTTAGTTATATTGTCAATTCGTCTATTTTATCATTCAATTTATTCTTTTGGTCAAAGAATATTCTTACAAGCGGATAATAATTATGTTTCGTAGTTATTTCGTTCAATTCATTTACACAATTTATAATTTTAGTTAAAGAATCTTTTTGACAAGCGGACAATAATTTCTGATTTTAGTTAAGGGTGACCTATCCACAAGAATCTTTTTTCTTATTTTTTTTGGATTTCCCGTTGAAATAAAAAAATATGTATATATTATAAGTTATTACTATTCATCTTGTTCACGTGCATATATATATATATATATATATATATATATATATATATATATATATATATATATATATATATATATATGTATGTATATATACGTGTGTCCTAGGCATGATCAACTAACCAATCAAATCCTTCAACCAATCAAACAGCCAACCAATTAAATCATCATTCAATCAGTGAACCAATGAATAAATGGGCAGATATACATCAATTGCACTTCAACAATTACGCAGGAGACATTTGCAGCACGGCCTATAATAATTATAAAAATAATAATAATAATGAAATTATTATTAAAATAATAGTAATAAAAATAATAATACACTGAGCTGTACTCATAACGCATTATGACAACCTTATAAAATATGAAGATATAAATAACTAAATAAATACACAAGTGACTGTGCGTATGTCCAAATGTATGAATGAGCATAATGTTATTGTAAATGTAACGTAATGTTGTAATGACGTATTGTTGTGATTGTAATAGAAATTGTAATGCTGTTGTGTAACTGTAACGTTAGTTGTCTAATTGTAATGTGACGTTGTAAACGCGTAAGAAGGTAGGAAGATATAAGGAGGATTGATCTATTCTTCATCAGAACCTCTCAGCTCACCGCCGCATCTCGTCGCCTAATCAGGCTGGCCCATTGCTGAATGATGGCGGACTGACATAATTAGAAAAATAATTATTATTAATTATAACATAATTATAATCAATTATATATAATTAATTATTATAAATTATAAATTTATATAACTATTGCCATTCATAATTCAACTTGTCATTAATAATTCAACAACTTATTTTTGCCCAAACTCCATTTGAATCAGGCATACGGCGGTTTGTCGCCGCCCTAACCACCACAAGAGCTATCACAGACGCACATGAAAAAATGAAAAAGTGAATGAGAAAAACTGACTCGACTGCACTGGCTTGGTTGGCTTTATCTAGTGAGTCAGTACCACTTTCTTTGACTTGAAAATTTAAATTTTCATTTGAAAAGTCAAAAATAAACGAATTTCATATGTTATATGAATATGTTATGAATTTCTACTGAGTATGAGAGAGAAAGAGAGAGAGGGAGAGAGAGAGAAAGAGAGAGTGACATGCCTGAGTATGATCAATATGATCTTATAGAAGTTGGGCTACATTAAAGTTGAGTAAATGTTAAATTATTGAAGAAATAAATAAGAAAGAATGTTGAATATCTGAACTTACCAATGGAGGCAAACACGTTGATGCTATTTATGTTTGTAACCCTGCAGAAATTTCAAATATTCAACTGAATTATTTTCAATTTCATTTAAAAATAGGTTAATTGAAACAGCCATCCTTTCACACAAGAAAACCTCGCATCATCCTAGGTTTTAATCATTCATTATATATTCTTTATAGGCTGTACCACGTGTAATCAGCATATCAAATAAGGATGGGAATTTGAGTTAAAACACAGCAGTGTAAAACTCACTTTTTGAAACTGGGACTAATCTTAAATAACATTTTTTACTCTGTGTGTGTGTGTGTGTGTGAGAGAGAGAGAGAGAGAGAGAGAGAGAGAGAAAGAAAGAAAGAAGAGAGAGAGAAAGGAGAGAAAGAGTAAGTGACATGCCTGAGTATGACATTAAACGATTCACTCACTTTCATTTCATTTCATCGCCATCCATCTCGGACAACACACAACAAACGGACATCATCACCATCATCACATCACCATAACATCACCATCATCGGCTAGAAGACGTCACAAACCCTTCATTCGATGTAGAATTAGTCGCAGTAGAAGAAGTGTACTGAGCAGTTTCGAAATCAGCCCACCCGGTCATGGCATTGTTGCTGTCATCATAGACAACAGACGGGGGATTGGATGACCACGGCGACCTGCCAGCTACTGGTGTCGTACTCTCGTCTAGCTGGCCTTCTTCAAAATTTGCCCAACCTAAAATAAATGATTAGCTAGTAGAAATTTTTGCAGACGCAGTGGATGAAAATACACACACACACATTCACACACGACAAACACGTAAATATTTACACACCACAACACACACACACACACACACACACACACACACATATAGACACACACAAAAACAACAAACAATATCTCACAATCATTAGATGAAACATCCATCTCTTCAGCATCGTCCTCGTCATTCTTGCTCTTTTTATCACAACTACTGCCCGGCCCACCGTCACCGTCCTCATCACTACGATCATCTTCGTCTTCATCGTCGTCATCACTAACTTTCTTTCTTTCAGTAGGCGTGTGAGTTTTAACACTTTTCGAGACTTCTGGTTTTAATCTTTCAAGATGAAAAATATGCAAAAACTTAAATGCATATATCAATATATATATATATATATTCACACACAGACACCGACAAATACACACAGGCAGACCAAAAACTACGTACAGAGATTCAGGAAAATTGGCAAGTTTTTCTTTCCAGATGTCCTCATCTGATTGGCTGTTGTCAGAAGCAGCCGAGGCAGCTGAAGCAGTTACTTCATCAGCGTCGTCGACGTCATCAGCGACCACGACAGCATCGTCATTAAAATCTTCCGCTCGGCTTTCGCACATCTCTTCAAATAATGAGGCTTTCTTCTGAGACTGGATGAAGATAATAATGAGAATGGCGGTCATAATGATGATGACGTCGAAGATTATGAAGATAACATCTGCCAACATGCACAGGAGACGATGATACAATTACCTATAGCAAGAAATAATTCTCCAAAAGATAAAGAAAACTCACATTAGCTAAACTGGTAGGGCTCAAGTTGGTCCAGCTATTTGAATCACTAAGTGCTGCCCTAATGATGATGATAATAATAATAAAATAATAATAATAATAAAAGTAATAATTACCATTATGTTAGGCGTTAATTTATTGTCGAACTTGTTGAAGGAAAAAGCGAAAACGTAGAAAAATAACATCAACAGACTCACTCAAAGTCTAGTCCCTCGTCTTCAGTGCACGCAAACTGCAAATAAATTAACATAAATTAACATAAATTAGCATATATTTAGCTTAATTAACCAATTAACAGATCGATAATCTAATTAAAAGAATGATGAGTTTACAAATAAAATAAATGTAATAACTTAGTTTTGGCGAAATATAAATTAAAATGACTGGACACACGCGCGCGCGCACGTACACACACACACACACACACACAAGCACACACATCACTATCTAGCACCACAAGCAACGTATGGATAAGATTCATCCCCTTGTTATGAAGCCGTACACACACACAAAAAAATAAAATAAACCAGAGAGATAAAAAAAATATTATTAAAATAATAATAAGAATAATAATATTAATAATATTATTATTATTGTTGTTGAAAAATTAATTAATTAATTGCATAATTAAGCATGCTCCATTTAAATTAGATCAATTAACAGTGCTGAGAGAATCATGAAAGCCTCGATAAAACAAATCAATATTATTATTATTATCATTATTAACATCGTTATTATTATCATCATTAATTATTATTATCATCATCATCATCATAAATACTGCTACAATGATTAACATCATTATATTTTAAAGTTATGAAACACTTAAACGAATTTTGTTATGCAGAATTAAGCTATCAGTCAAAATTAGAATAATTCAATCAAATAAACAACTTCAACAACAACAACGACAACAACAACAACAATAATAATAATCTAGCATCTTCAGACACAATAACAACAAAATAACAACAAAAAACATTAATAACAACATAGAAAAACGCCGACAACAATAACCACAACCACATTAGCAACAACAACAACAATAATAATAATGATAACGATAAATAAATAATAAATAATCATCACAGAAATACTGCTAACTCAAACTGGGATTAGCAAAACGTAGAATGTGAAAAACAGCCAAAATAATTTCAAAATGCATGAAACTGAGTTTTAGCCCAAAAAAAACCCAAACAAACAAAAGAGAAACACAACTGAAAAATCTTGTGTGCTTAAAAGCATGCGATGAAATATTATTAAACATTCCACACACACCAAGCTATGTGAGTATGAACGCACACAAAAATACACACACACACATACACACACACAAACGATCGGTTTATTGGTTTATTGAAAATCCAATCAAATGATTCTATGACTGATTCTAACATCATCACTATCAACATCATCATCATTATCATCAACATCATCATCTCCATCATCATCATCATCAACAACATCATCATCAACAACAACATCATCATCACCATCATTACCAGTCTCAATATTCTTCCAACCTAAGAAAAAAATTGAATGCAAGTAAAATCATGGAACATCAATTTACCAGAAACATCAACAACAACAACAATAATAATAATAACAACAATAATAATAACAATGAATGTTAGTAAGTGTATGCAACAACGACGAGAATAAAACACGTGTGTGCGTGCGTGCTAATAAATTAAAACATTGAGGCGTCTGTCACAATCAAACTAACAAAAAAAAAGAGTAACGCAAATTATATTTTTGCCTAGAAAAACATTGCAAATAAATAAATAAACAAATAAATAAACAAATAAATAAAACAAATGAATGAACGAATGAACGAACAAACAAACAAACAAATGAAAGTAACAATCACGAACGAAAAATAAAGAACGAGACCAAGTAACTTGATACTTAGAAACAAAATTTAAGTCAATTCTCCAACGAAACAAAAACTGCATAATTGATTTCTACGTAGTACAATGATGGAGCTACAAAGTGAAGAAAACCACAGCAACAACAACGGCGTCTGCAGTTGCGAGGACAACAATAACAACGCCGACCACAAAAAATTGAAAAAAAAAACAAAAAATTAGCCTATGGATATAAAAGAGACGAGATTCTAACAAAACTATTGAATTGTAGCAAGGGAATAAGACACACACACACAACACACACAAAGACACACACAAAGACACACACAAAGACACACACACAAAGACACACACACGCATGAAAACACGCATATACACACACAAAACATATATACATACACACACACAAACATCTAAGTTCAATGATAAAAAAGCTTTAAAATCAATGCCAAAGAATTTAAGAAAAAAAAATTCCTAAATATAACAAAGACATCTACAAATACAGACATATACAGACAAGCATACAAACATATATACACATATAAACATATGTACACAACACATAAACTCGTAAAATCATATAGACCATAAATAATCAAGTGTGTGTGTGTGTGTATGTGTGTGTGTATGTATTTACTTGCGTATATATATATATATATATATATATATATATATATATATATATATATATATATATGTATATATATATATATATATATGTATGTTGGTAATAGACCATAATTTTTACAATATTCTATAAATCCTACCGAATGTTTGGCGTTAATATGTTTGTAGTTCGTTTTTTCGATTTTTCTCACTAAAGTTTTTTGGTGAACGTTTAGTTTATTAAATCAAAATAAC